AATAACTATCTAAATAAATATGTCAAAAACTAATTTAGGATAAAAAAGAATTTATCTATGTCCGTGTTTGAGATAACATATTATAAATTTGGATATGTAATGTTATTGTATATTTATCATATGTAAATACTTTTTTTAGTCTTTGTTGGAAGAAACTAAGACCATGTTCTCTTCAACTTATTCATATTACTTATTACTTTTTCTTATTGTAATCAGATCAGATCAGAAATCATTTTAATTATAACTACATTTTTATCAGATCAGACCAGACTAGATCAAAACTTATTCCAATTAGATGAGAACCATTTAGATGAGGTGAAGATAACATGACCTGCCAAATAGGCCGGTCAGGTCGGATATTCTAGTAATACATTTAATGTTGTTAAATAGACCTGGCAAATAGGCCGGTCAGCTCAGATTAAGATTTTGGTCAATTAAAGTTCAGGTCACATCAGATTCGAGTAAGTTTGGGTTCAAGTTAAGAATTACATGTTAATGACTCATATCTTTAGGTTTGGATCAACCCAATAGGTTATGAGAATTGATTTTTAGAATATTAAAATTCAAAATAACATTGTATTTTGTACTTAAAAGATAAGAAAATATCAAAATATATAGACTAAGGCCGCGTTCCGTTCAACTTATTTTTTTTGCTTTTTTCTTATTCTTATTAAAATCAGATCAAATCTAATCAGATCAGATCCAATCTGATCAGACTAGATCAGATCAGATCAAATCCAATCAAAAACTATTTTTATTATTATTATTAGGAATTATTATTATTATTATTATCATCATTATCATTATCGTTATTACTCCATACTTTTTAAGTTCCATACTTTTTACTTGTTTCACTTGATACGATTCTTTCAAAAAATAAATTTAATTTCTCTTGAAAAAGTATAAGAAGAAAGAAAATAAAACTTTTGTACGATTATAATTTATATAGAGAAAAATAAAATGATACGACGCACAATTTTTTCCTTAAAAATGAAAAAGAATAAACTTTAGAAACAAGTTAAATAGAAAACTGAGAAAGTGATCCTTAATTATTAGACGTCAGAAAAATTATTTTTAAAATACTTTGACAATGTCAATCTAATTCAACTTTTAAAATACATTTTTATTGCTGCATGTAATTTGAGTTTCTAAAGTTATTATATTATAAAATATGAATGAAAAAATATTATTACAGTATATTATAGCATTATAATATGAATGATTATTCTAATATATGAATTAACTAATTTTATTTCATTAAAAAAATAATCATAAAATAAAAAATATTGATTATATTATAATATGAATTATCATTAAAATTTTACAAAGTTATTATAAAGTCAGATCAAATTATTGATTTGAATTTTAAATCAAATCATAATTAATCAGATCAGATCGCATCAGATTCAATCAGATCAGATCAAATCTAATCAGATCAGACCAGATCAAATCCAATCAGATCAGATCAGATCAAAACTACCAAAAATCAGATTAGATCAAAAAAAATAAGTTGAACGGAACGGAGCTTAAAGCTCTTAGAATATTTTATTTTAAACTTTTGATTACTTTTTAGATATATTTAACAATAAATAATATAAAAAAATTAAATATGTGCTATTTTTGAAAAATGTAAGATAAGTACGTGATATCATTAAAAACTTGTTTAAAACTATAAGTTTATACACTAAGAATGAGTAAAAAATGAAAACACAACTTTATTTTTGATACATTATTTTTCATACTATAGTACATGATAATAAAAAAAACTTACCTTAGTATGTCGATTAGGTTGGGTTTAATGCTTTTTTAGCAGGTCATTTTGAATTCGGTTATTTTCAGGTCCGGTCAACAAAACCCGGCCTTATTCAAAATTCAAAATTTTCGAATCGGGTCTCGGGTCAAAAATATGTCGGGTCAATTTTCGTCAGCTCTATTTTAAATGATGGTTAAGTAATCTTTTTTTGCTATGTTTTTTTTAATGCCTACATTGTTGTGACTTGTGAGAGGGAAGAAGCAAAGAAAATACTTGGTCATGAGGAAAGTAATCCGAGGAAGTAAAGAGGGAAGGAGGCGATGAGAGGCATGGAATGGATAAGGCGAGAATGGTAATAAATAGGCCGCCCATTTCGAGTCAAGCATAGCATTTCTCATTCGCGTAAAGACAAGTTATTAAGCCTCAAAGGGAATAAAGGCAGACATGTCTGCAATAGTGAATTGTAAAAGGACTAAAGGCATTTCTGCCCCTAACATATCATTCATTTATGGGATCTCCCCCTCCAATCACATTTTTTACTAAACAAATTCAAATGTTATGCTTTGATGTTTTTGTTTTACTATAATTGTGGTCCTCCCTCCCCCAATTAGACCATGTGTTATCATGTGTTTGATGAGGGCGCGGGAGAATAATAATACTCTAATAATAATAAAAGTCATTTTTAAATGATTAGAAAGTCGTTGGAAATGGAAACATGCGGCAACTTCAGTGGGGCAACGCACGTGGTCGCGGTCAGGCCCGATCCGAAACACCGCCATAACGTCCCAGGTGTCGCCATGGCCACGGTGTGGGGGGCATTAACGGCCAATCCACGGCGTAGGTAACGCCCCAAAACACATGGTCTTACAACTTAGCAGACAACACTTTAATTTCATGGAGTTTAAAAAAATATTGGTTAGTAAAAATAAAATAGATACATGGTGGAAAATGTATGGAGGAGAGGGGGGAATAAAAATAGGACTAAAACATAATGATTTTCTCAATATAGGACCATATGTTTTTATTTCTCAATGTGGGACCATTGATCATTATCTACTAGTCATTATTCAACTAAATGTCCAACATCACTTGGACATTATTCTCCTCACTAGTCATTATTAAGTCCTATTTAGGGAATAAAAAAGTTTAAGTCCTATATTGGGAAATGACTTACGTTTTAGTCTTATTCAGTGCAAATTTCACAAAAAAATATATTCACTTATTTATTTTCTCAAATGAATTTTTTATACTTCTTTTTTAGCAACTTTAAAAAAAATATTACCTCCGTCCCAATATATTTGTCCATTTTAACTTTTTCAAGTCAAACTGGATAAATTTTAATTTGAGCTTCAATTACCTTTAATTTGTATTACATATTAATACAATAAAACAAAATATTAAAAATTCTCAACAAGATAAATTTAATAAAATCATTTTATGCAAATATACATTAAAACTTTAGTTTAAATTGAGTTTAAAATTAATCTAGTTTGACTCAAAAAGTCAAATTGAACAAATACACCGAGACAAAAGTAATATAAGGTCTATTTTACCCTTCAGTTACACTTTAACGTCAATTACACCTCTAGGTACACCCACCCTTTTTTCCAAAAAAAACTACCTACTACCCACCGCTCTGATAACACTAACCCTCAAGGGTTGGCACGGGACAGAATAGACCGGGTTTTTAGTTGTCCTGCTCTTAGTCTCACTCTTTAGAAACAGAACGAAATGGTTACTTTGTCCCATTTAATTCCGGATCGAGACAATTCAGAACATTTTACGATATCTTAATTGAAACTTTTTATAAACTACAATTAAAAGTTATTTATTTGTAATCTGTAAAAATAATTTAAAAGTTTTATACAAACATCTTTAATAAATTCATTAAAAAATGTAACAAAAATCCAGATAAAAGTTCAACTACCCACCTAACAGAGAACTCCTTTCTTGGTAAAGCCGTGTTGTATTGTAATATGTTAACTAAGTAGACTTGAGTCATGGCTGTATGTAGTGACTCTAAATCCTAAGATAAGCTAAGGTTGTAATAAAGAATTGGTCTCAACCTAGAACAGGTTATGAGCTAGTGTTTGAGATGAGCTATTATAAGAATTTGGATATTGACTTAATAACATATGCACGTGAAGAACCAAGGTAAGTAACATGAAGTATGATTATTATAATATAGTCAATATTATTTGATGATTGTTGTGTGATATTATTAATGTTGTACTTGTGTGCATGATATTGTATGAAATTATGAGCTAGTGAGTTCATCTATATGCGTAGTGGAACGTTAAATATTTCTCACTTCGCAACAATGTTTAGCGTGTGACATTTGTTCTCATGCTACACGTAAGTAATAAGGAAACAATCTTGGAGGACAGCGAGGGCAAGGAGATAGATGAATGATGGCTGAAGGAGTTTAGTTAATTTAATAATATATTTGAATTTATCATCTTTTCGGGCAAGAATTCAAAGTTGTGTTTAGATTAAATACTTAAAGCTTCCACACCGTTTTTATTACCTCCTATGGATTTATAAGTAATGTTTTGAATTGAATGTTTTAAATTATTTCAAAAATTATTGTGTTTGGATACCAATCTGGTGACAAAACAATCTGCTGATCATTGTATTCGGGTCACGCGGGTCGAGGTGTTACAACTTTCTTGTTCTTCTCCTCCTCCGTTCCTTTTTTATTGCACCACTAAACAGAGAGGACAAGCTCCTTTCATCTTTCCCTCTTTGTCACCGGCTTTTCGCTCGTCCCAGATCTGCTGCAGCGTCCCATCGTAAGTTTCCTTTGTCCTTGATAACACTGCCTGGTCTTCTTTCTTGACCTTATCGGTCTTAGTCCTGGTGTATCCCTCCTCCAACTATTGCTTACTCCCGTTCAGGTTTTTCGCTTCTACGTACTCCCAAGCGGTGTTGTAGACTTCTTGGTAGGAAGAGGGTGGCCTCTTGCGAAATTCCGTGTAGAGGTCTCCTGGTTGAAAATTGTTCATCACGAGGGACATGGCCTTCTTGTCATCCATCTCCTCCACCTTGTCAATTCCTTCTCTCGTTGACATAATTCTTTCTCTCGTTGCCCTACCGTGTTAAAATAGATGAACTTCTTTGTTTTGATACAATTGTCTTGGTATTTTGCTCGGAAAAGTTTTTCCAGGCGTTCAAAAGTATTTATCTTTCCGTGGGGAAGGTTGTTGAACCACTCCACCGGCCTCTCCCGAAGTGATGAGAAGAATAGAAGGCACTCCTCTACATCAGTACACCCTGACATCTGCACGGCATTATGGAAGGTGCCCAGATGGATATCCGAGTCCTCTTTCCCGGTGAACTTCACTATATCAAGCTTGATCTTCCTTATCAACCTTTGTAAAGGGATCTTGCACGGGTATGCTTCTTCCTTCCACTCTTCTAATCAACTTTGTCCTCCAGAGCCTACAATTTCTGCACCATGCTTCCGATCCTATTAAAATCCTCCTCCTGATCTTCATATGGGATTCGGGTATAGGCGGATTGCCGAGCCTGGCTTTCAGCTTCATCTTCGTCCAGGTGGATCGTCTCCGCATCCCTGGATTGTCGTGACGGAGTAGGGTGTCTGTCTCTTCCCCCGCCAAGCTGATCAAAAGCGCTAGCCCGAGGCATCTCAGGACCAAGACATAGCTTGGCTAACTTACGGGGTCCGTCCTCCTTGTCTTCCAGTCGTTTCAATGCCGAATCTATAGTCTTGCTCGGCTTGGCGATAGCCTTCCCCTTCCTCCGGCGTGCTTCCTCTTGGTCTGCAACATCACGACCTTTGGACGTGCCTGGGGTATTTGAAGGTCCAACTCCATCCATGGTCGTAACTAAATTAATGGGATGCACGGAATTGACCATCCTTGGTACGAAAGTTGATGGGGTAGTCCCTGGGACTGAAATGGGGCTCATCACTGGTAGAAACATGCGAGGGTATGCAAATGACATATAGCCCCCAACTTCCTACATCATGACAATCACCTGTTAATACCCTTGCAAGGCTTGCAAGTTTGCTGGATCGGCAGCAAACTGAACCGAACTTGGTGGGAACAACATAGGCGGTGTCACCTCCCCCGATGTGGGTAGTGATCCTGGGAATATCATGGTCGTCGTAGGCATTGGAGTGGGGGTTGACATAATCGACATTATCCCCAGGGATCTAACACATGTGACTGGAGCAAATGTTAGGCTCACATTGATCATTGTCATCGAAGTGGTGGGCGTGTAGGATTCTGGCACGATCGGGTCGCAAACAATTGGGTGAGTACTGAAAGACATAATCGTGGATATTTTTGTGGGGTGAGTAAAAGTGACCGGTTCACTTTTTCACAAGTCGGGTCCTACGGATGGCGCCAAATGATGGTGTAAATTTAACCAGGTAAGTTTGACCAGTATAACCAGGTCAAGACAGACTCTACCAAGTAAGCCAAACACACCAAAAAGTAAGAACACAAAAGATGACCTAGACCAGGAAAGAATTCATGTGCCCGAAGTTGTATTTCTTACTCTGTTTCGAAAGTGTACAAACGTGTGTATGAATGAATGTCCCTCCTCCACTTCTTACAATCTATTTATACTGGGTGGAGGAGGTCAATTAAGGTAACAAGCCATTCCTCGGGCGTAGACTTAGCTTCAATCAGTATCTACATAAGGAAATAGGCCCATAACCCGCTGCTCTCTGGCCTAACCGTTGATGGTCGCCAATCTCGCCCTTATTTATGTTGTCCAGCGGTTTAGCGCGATTCCCACTCCATTATTTAGTCCCAAAGATGGCGGGGTAATATAGCGGGATGGCTCTATGTGTGCCCTCACCTAGAATCATATTCGTCAGTTAAACTTATGGAATCTGACCGCCAATCTGATGAGTTAATCCCTCAATTTGCCTCCAGTAATGGCCCTGTAAGAAATGACCATGCCGAAGACATGATCGATCACTTTTTAGGAAAGAGGCGACCAATCATTTCCAAAATGCTCTACGCTTCCTGGAACGCCACTTAATTTGTTGACCAGTCACACTTGTCCTGTCACTTTGCACCGGGCCGGGTATTGGTTATATCGATCAGATATGATGTATAGATTATTAGTAAAAAAAAAGTATGATGTGATAGGTAAGTTAAGAATTAGTATGGATAAAAGTAATTTTTTAATAGAAATGAGAAGGATTTTGAGAAACAAGAAAAAAATGGAAGAGGAAAGAGTTTTTTGAATGGAGGGAATACGAAAGAAAAGAATCATATTAATGTTGGAAGATGAATCATTTTTTCGATTATCTAAACTAATATGGGAGAGGGGAGATCATAAAAGTTGCCTATCAGTGACGATTATATTACAGTTGAATTTTTTAATGTAAAAAAATGTTCGTAAATCTTTAAACCACAAAGTAATTTTAATTTGAAAAAAGTTGTACTCATTATTTTATTGATGAACATTGGCCAACCATATAAAATGCGGTGGGGTTCTAGTGACACTTAAGGGCTGTTTGACAACTTCTGAATAGGTAAGTGCTGAAACAGTAAGAGGTCTGAATCATTAAGTGCTGAACCAGTAAGAGATCTGAACCATTAAGAGCTAGTATATTGCTTACCTATTCAAAGGCAAATGTCTGATCAATTCAGATAAGAGGTCTTAACCATTCAGACTCTGTATTATATTTAATCATTCAGAGGCAAATGTCTGAGCCATTCAGACATCTAAACCATTAAGAGGCTGAAACAAACAGTTTGAACCATTAAGTGCTGAATCATTCAGACATCTGAACCATTAAGAGGCTGAAACAAACAGCCCCTTACTTTTAGTGACACTAACGGTGTCACTATCATTTTGAAACACTTCTGGTGTTCCGTTCGTAAAATTGACTATTCCTACCCTCTAACCCACCACATAAACCTACCACTACCCACCCCTACCCTGACCTTGTCGTAAGCCCCCTACAAAATGTGACTATTATGCATTGCCAGATCCGACCGAATGATTACAGAGTAAAGATAAATTAGATTTTGATAGTAGATTGATTAGTGAAAATAGTGTCTACTCCTAATAGTTTTAGACTTGTAGATGCCCTCCTATTTTGGGATATTGAAGTAATAGAGTTGCCCGACCCACACACGCACAGTAGGCAGCCACTGCGGTGGTGCCACGTAATCCACCATCCCCACACGGAAGCGAAGCCCGATGACAAGTGGGCCCATCTTGTCTTCGCTGATCAAGACCGCTTAAGCACCCTTTTGTCCGCTATATTTTCACCACTACCGCCCACTCATTCCTCCCGCACCGCCGTCCCACCCTCCAACGGCAACGTACAACCCCCCACAGCATCCCTTTCTCAATTTTCTTTTTCCCGTTTTTAACCCGCAATTATTACCGCACGCCTTCCGTTAAATCCCGTCACGTCCGGCTATATATATAAATATATATGCTCCGTATATCTCCCAACTGCGGCCCGATAAGTTCTCTCTTTGTCTCCATTCCTTTTCTTCTTTCTCTCCATATATAAACACTTCACCTCCTTTGCCATTTATATATCCTCTTATAACGCAAGGGTTCCCGAAACCAACGCCGTGATATTCTGCGACGGCCGGAAAACTTAATGCGACTGATTTCCGCCGCTCGGAAATCGGATCCGGTCCAAGTGCCGGCGTTCTAGCGCGCGCCTCGTCATTCCCGGCCGCCGTGTAAGTGGTTTAACTCCGCCTTTTTAAATTACAGTAGGTGTTTGTTTGTTTGTTTGTTCCGGTGGGGGAACATTCGTACGCACTGGTCGCTGTCGAGGTGGTTGTACTGGGAAGGTTTGTGTCTGTTTGTCCGATGAGTAATGGGCGGTCGGACAAAGTGGACTTCCGCGGCATTCATTGTATTATTAGTAGCCATTAGTGCAATAATTAGATCCGCATCATATCCAGGCTGTCTAATCCGAATTCCGAATCGAACTTTGGATTGTTCTTATGATTATAAATGATGAATCCATCAGACGTTTCACTAATTACAAATCCGTACGATGTTCCCTGTTTTTTCAAAAAATACACTTCTATTGAATGTTCCGATCGAGCCGCCGATGAAGAACTTCGTCGGCGTTCCAAATGTGAATCGGAACCTCTCTGTTTTTTTCTTCAATTCTTCCGATCATGTTTTTGCTTTTGAGGTTCTCCGGATTTGTTTATGGTTTTGTTCGTTTAGGTTGCCGATTCATTCATAATGAGTACTTTATTTTTCTTTAATGAAAAAAAGGACAGGAATTCTTAAAGAAGAACAACAACAAGACGGCCATACTTTAAATGCTCAGAGCCGTACCCATTGTGTGATGCGTTTTTTTTTTTTGCTTTATACACATTTGTGAATATGCTTGTACTATTTACAGAACCGATTTATTTATGAAATGAAATATGATAAATTATAACAGTAATTGTTTTTTGTTTTTTTATGCAGAGAAAGAGAGAGAGAGAGAGGAGGGAGGGAGATGTTGACGTGTATCACGTGTAAGCCAAAGATAGAGGACGGTGACGGAGGGGAGGAGGGCCCACGTGGGACGCCCGGTTCGAAGGACTCCGTCAAAAGCCTGACGGCGCAGGTTCGAATCCCATAAACCCCATCTCTACTGTTTTTTTCTGTTTCGGATTACTGTTTCTGTGTGCGCATCAGCGTCAGCTGCAGAGAGAATAGAATAGAGAGAGATATATGAGAGATGCATGCAAACGGTGCTGCGACCCTACGCACACTAGCATTTCTTCACAGTCTTTTTCTTTTTTTCTTTTTATATTTTTAATTTTCTTTTTCTTTATCCCTTGCTTGTGAAATTGTTCGTGTCACTTTTTATCTGTATTTGCTCCGTGCGGGCCCCGCTCTCCCCCCTTTGTTGTGGCCCCACCTCCCGGCCACCTTCCTATTCTAAGATTCATTACAAATGCAATTTTCAGTTGTTTGGTCTTTGGTTTCAAAATGTTTTAGGAACAAAAAACACAGGGAGATGCTAGTGGTACACCAAAGGTGTACTTCAAATGTCCCCCACTCCCTCCATAACCATTTATTTTTATTTGATTTTTATTTACTTATTTTTTTTGAATTTTTTTTGCCTTTTTTGTAGACAATGAGGAGGTGGGGAACATTTGGGGTACACAAAGGTTCCAAAAACATAAGAACGGAATTACTATTTGTAAAACTTTACTCCCTACTATTTTTAATGTATATTTAATGTATCACATTTTAAATTCTTATATTTACATACTGTATTAATTCTCCTTCCATTTCAAAATTCAGATGCAATTAAGTTATACACTCCATATTTCTTCATTGTATATTTCCATTCATAATTTCCCTAAATATTATGGTCATTTCTTTTTTTTTGTAAAACTTTTTTATTGTTTTAAATATATAATTTTATTTTATATGGAGTATATTCTTACACAAATATTCAAGTAAACTAATTTTTTTTAATAATTAAGTTAACCTTAATAACTTCAATTCAACTGTATGTTTATTTATTTGGTCACGGATATGCACTTTCTTTCTCCCTAAATCAGTTCCGCAGTTCTTTTATAATTCTTACTAGAATTTATGTAATTGGAAATATTCATAATTTAATTTGTACGCTGACTTGGGTGAAAAACTTAAAAGACCATTATTTTGGAAGGAAGGATCGATGTATTTTATGAGAAACGATCCAAAATATGGTATGGAGTTTTAAAGTAATGTAAGACTATTATTTGTTTAAAATATTCATTATAGTCATTAAAGTATATATAAATTAATAACTTTTGCCAAGTAAAGGAAAAAAAACTTGAGGCACTATAACTAAATTTCTCTAATTTTAAAGGGTTAAAAACATACTCCTTCCGTCCTGAAACGTTCTTCTTGTTTCTGTTTACGAGGTTTGATCGACTTTGTTTTCAATTCAATTTATTTGATTATAAGTATAAAATTAAAAAATAAAATTTATGTATTTAAAAATTAAATCAAAACTTCTACAAAACAAAAATTGACAATAATATATTATTTTATCAAATAACTAATATAAATATGTAAAGAAAATGATTAAAGTTTGACCGTATGTATAGTAATTGGGAAGAATGTTTTAGGACCGAGTAGGTAATTAACATCTGCTTGAGAGCAGTGAGAGGGGCAATAATTTTAACATGGTTGAAAAAAACATTTGAAATTTTACATGGTTGAAAAAAACAATGTTGAAAAAAACCTCATGCCCTTAATTTCTCTTGTATTAACATCTGCTTAGTATTAATTTTACATGGTTGAAAAAAACATATTTAACCCTTAATTACAAGTACATAATTTAAAAATTTTAAGACCTCATGCCCTGTCCAATGGATCAATAATAAAAGGGCAGAAGATCATTCGAAATTTTTAATTTTATTCTTTTAATAGAATAAGAGATGTGTCTATGTAGTACCCCGTAAATTGGATCGGGCAAGATAGATGAGGGACCATATTAATATACGTTTGTCGATATATACTAAATTATTGTGATCAATTTGGGGTTAAAACTGTAACAATCAAGTGGGCCCAAACGAAATTGGGTCATCTGTCTTGAGCCTTGGGCCAAAAAAAAAAGAACTGTTGTACGGATTACATTCAATTAATCTCTTCTCCCTTTTTGGTGGTCCATTGCTCTCACTCACATCTTTAAAAAGCCCGACCCGATCTCTCCCCCCTCTTCTGTCTTTTACATCTTCCCATAAATGCCAAGTTTTGAATGGCTCTGCTCTCTTTTTGTGTCTTGTTGCATGCTTTCTGACATGTACAAACAAATGCTAGTTGCCCCTGTTTTAAAAATAAGTTGGTGTTTTTTTCAATGTTTGTCAATTTTGTTAACCTTTAATTGGTCTTTTGAATTGACATGTTTTGAGGAAAGCTAGAAATTCTGATTTTTTATCAAAATGTTTTCAATAAAGACCATATTAATTCTTTGTTCTTCTTTCTTATCATAAATCTTTTTTTTTTCTCGTAAAAGTGTCAAAAACTCAAGACAAATCATCTAATCAGTAAACTGTATCGGTATTATATTAAGTGGTCAAATAGTAAATTGTTCTTCAATGACATTACAAATGTCACAATTTTAGTGACAATTGAGGACATGTAAACTCCCAAGATAAATGTAGTGCAAATGTTTGGTACATTTAATTTGACTACACCAACAAATAAATTGGCATATATGCATGGTCTATTGTTGTGTTTATTTGCATTGATGGAACTGAAAGAAAGAATATTGATTGTAGATAAAAGACATAGCATTGAAGGTGTCTGGGGCATACAAGTGCAAGCCAGGCACACCAAGCAGCAGCAGCACTGCATACAGGAAAGGGAGGGCATACCCAGAACTGGACACCATCTCAGAGGGGGTCCCACACCCTTTCCACCCCTCTGGTTCCACCAGCTCCACCCCAGCCTGGGATTACACCAAAACCAGCAGTTTTCACAACAACCCTTCCATGTTTTCGGCTTCTGAGGTTGGGGTTGAGGACGAGAGCGAACCCAAGGAGTGGGTTGCCCAGGTCGAACCCGGCGTTCAGATCACTTTCCTCTCCCTCCCTTCTGGGGGAAACGATCTCAAACGAATCCGTTTCAGGTGCGATTATATACACAGCTAGCAGCTAACGAATCAAACAACGTTGTTGTTTTGTTAAGATGTGTACTATGATGTTTTGTGATGTCTGGTTGCAGCCGGGACATGTTTGACAAGTGGCAAGCACAGAGGTGGTGGGGAGAGAACTTCGACAGGATCATGGAGCTACACAATGTCCAGAGGTTCAATCAGCAGGCGCTGGAAACCCCTGCCCGTACTGAGGATGGGGTAAGTATTATATATAAGGGTGCAATGTCCAAAGAAAAAATGTCCATATTTCTTTCTTTTAGTGATATATTATGAATGAATTGTGGTGTGGGGTTGCAGAGAGACTCGACGTATTCTCGGCTGAGGGAGAGCCCAATGATGATGACAGCAGCACAGAGGAACTACTACTATAACAACAAACAAGGAGGAATGGGGGAAGGGCCAAGAACAACGACCGACTCAAGAGAGGAAGCTTCCATATCCATAAGCAACGCGAGCGAGATGTCCTCAGAGTGGATTGAAGAAGATGAGCCCGGGGTTTATGTCACCATTAGACAGCTTGCTGATGGCACTCGCGAGCTTCGCCGCGTCCGGTTCAGGTAAATCAATCATTATTATTACTATGAAGCATATACGACGTAAAGTGGTAATTATATATGAAGCAGATATATATATGATCCTAGCTAATCATTTGCTCGTTCGCTCTTTATTTCGCAGTCGAGAGAAATTTGGAGAGGTGAATGCAAAGATGTGGTGGGAACAGAACAGGGATAGGATACAAGAAACATACCTTTAGCTTATTATTATTATTAGCTAGTAGGAACACTACTTTTCTTAAAATACTATTTTATGTTTTAAAAAAAGAAGAAGAAGTTTTTGACTAAGTAGTCCTATGACACATTTGGCACACTATATATAGTATTTTTTTATATATATAAAAATTAAAGTTGTCTATGAGGAATGGCTAGCTAAGCAGCATTCAGATAGAGCAGATCAAGTGAAGCTATTCAAGGAATGGAGTGGAGTGGAATGGGATGGCTGCCCAATTTGGTCTTAAATTTGTAGCTTGATTAGCTTTGTTAATTATGCATTTATGTTGTCATTTGACTGCGCCGCCATATGAAAAAACAAGTAGCTAGCTAGCTACCTACCTAGCAGACTACTTACGTACATGTAATTAATTACTTGATGATGATTTTTAAGGGAAAAAACTCACTTATATTAATTATAGCATTGTTTGTTTTATACTATATCTTTGTTTGTAACAACACTTAATTGTGACTTGATGAGAGACGGAATCCAACCTCTCTACTACATACTCTTTGCAAACTACGGAGTAGTTTTTTGTCTTGTTTGGTTATATTTTGTTATATATGTCTTTCTTCTTCCAAATAATTGTGCAAGCTAAGGTTGTCTGTGTCCATATTACTCTTCAATTCTGATTTGAAAATGAGTTCAAAATTGTTTTTTTTGTTTGACACATGCACTTGAAACCGTTTGTGGGTCTAGGCAAATGAAGCATGGATCTAGAGTTTCCAATTTTTTGAAATATTTGAATTTTATTTTATTAAAGTTACTCAACATATCATTTCAGAGCTTCTTTCGAGAATTTAAGGGTTCAAGACGAAACGAAAAAATGGTCTTTAGTCCTAGTAATTGGTTTCTCAGCCTTGGCTCGTGGGGGTTCTCCATCTGCATTGATGATTTAAACTCGTCGACTTTTCAATCTCAGTCACAAGTTCTAACTGTTATACTATTACGGAGTAAATATTACTCTAGCCGTCCTAGTATATATATCTGTTTAATTTTTTATCTGTACTTATAGCAATGGGGGCACTTGCCCCCAATGATTTTTTTTAAATAATTAGTAGTGTTATTACCTTTTTTTGTAAAATAATACTCCGTATTAATAATGCTTCCATAAAAATATTTGTATGCCCCCATTAAAAAATAGAATGCCCCCATTAACTTTTCTCATTGTGCATTTACTTAAAAAAAGACCAAAGTATTTTACATTTTTTTATTAAAACTAGTTTTAGTAATTTATTTGTGTACTCCGTATAATTTTATTTTTAAAACTCATTTATTTACTTATAAATTATGTGTACTAAATCATAATTTTGAGATAAAGCTTGACACTATTTTTGATGTTTAACATTGTATTTTGGGAAAAAATATATCTGGGCCGCTGCCTCCGGACCCTGTCCTAGCTTTGCTCTCAGCCCTCCCATCTCCTGCATTATCCCCCACTGATATCGAATATTGCTATAAAATTAATTTTGTTTAATTTATCTTGTTGAGAGCTTTTAAAAAATTTATTTCGTTTATTCGGTGTATTAATATGCAATACAATACATAATATTTGTATGGGAAAAATGAAGCAGAAAATGAAAACCCGGAGGTTGATGTACACAGAATCAGGCGAGATGAGAGAGTTGTTGAAGGAGTCCAAATGCGGAATATTACTAACATGAACTTACTTACTACAATGTGTTAACCGGCCCAACAAAATAGGTCCATTATAATACTTGTTCAATTTCTCAAAAAATATTATCTTTAATAAATAATTTAATTGATCAAATAAAATTTTCAAATAATATTTTATTACTTTTTTTATCATATCTATATGATATTTTAGATAATTCATGATTTTTTTATCTTAAATATGTAAAATAAGAAACTTAAACAATTTATGAAAAAAAGTTGGACGACTAAATCCAGACAAAGAGTATACTTCCTCCGTCCCACTTTAGATTACAATATTCTCTTTTAGTTGAAATTAAGGAAGAGTCAAATCAAATTTTTTTTCCCTAAATTACCCCCCAAATCCTCCCCAAATAGTGTGAATAGTGGCTGGCAGAAAAGAAAAGGGGAGGGTAAAAGAGTCAAATCACTATAAAGTTATTGACTTTGTAATCCTTTTTGGGACAAAAATATGAGGGAATATTGTAATCTATTTCAGGACGGAGGGAGTATTTTTTTTCTCTCATTGGAAGCCACTTTTCAAGATTCGCGAGAAAGTTTAACTAGATTTGAGTCCCAACAAAATAGAGACACTAGTTTATAGTGTGTGATTAGTTTGAGAAAAATATGAACGAGGTATTAAATTGCAATCAAGTCAATAACGTAAAAAATGTGTTTCTCTATCTTTTTAATATGACTTATAAATGGTTTATAATTTAAAAAAAATAAGTAGGTCTTACCTTTTTAATTTGAAGTCAGTTTTTTAATTTCACCGTTTTCACCATATTATTTATAAAATTATCTCTCACTGTTTATGAATATCCCAAACGACATTTATATCTTCTAAATCATTTTACTTCCATGAAAAAATATTTAATTTATAAGAATCTTATATATTAAAAATTGATAATCGATAATAAGTCAATGAATACCAGTACAATAAACATTTACTAACATTTGAACAAAACATTAAATGTAATAAGTTGTACGTGTAATCAAACTTTATACCCCTTCCGTCTAAATTTAATGTTCATAGTTTGACTTTTCACAGAATTTTAAAAAAGTAAAATTATATGATTGAATAAAATACCCCGGAGTACACAAGAAGAAGAAAAATGTGAGTCACAACAAACTTTCCAAAAAAAAGAGAAAAGAAAAATTGGGGGAGTTTAAAAATTTAAAAACGGCTTAGGAAAAATTAACTTAGGGCGGAGATATATTAAACGCTTAAAAAAGAATTTTTCAATATCGATTTTACAAGCTCGACCAGAAAACCACCAATTTCAGATCCGAGTAGTCCTCGACTCTGGGAGGATGCGATTCCGAGACTGCGCCCGGGCTTCCGTTTGTGCGACGCTGTGAGATTCATCGCCGGCGGCAATCGTTTGCGTGACTCAGCGGCTGGATCTGTTTCAGCCCCCAGGTTCGTGCAACTTTCATTCTTTTTGTTTTTTAAGTTTTGATGTTTTTTTTTGAATTGCTGGTTCATTTAGTTTCGAACTTGAATATCTATTTGAGTCTCTGATTTTCACATTTGTTGTGTGTTTGGTTTTTAGTTTGTGTCCTGGTCTAGCTTGATAATGTCTGGTTTTTGAGTAAAACCTAGCTGCTGTGTTGTTTTTTTATCATTACCAGACCCCCATTCATTTTGTGATTCTGTGAAGACTGCCATGCTCGGGTTAACTGGTTCTAATTCAGACTGTACTGGTAAAATCAGGTCCGTTTTGAGCTTAGGTTCTGCCTCTGCAACTGCAAGTCCATCCCGCTCCGATGCTTCACCTTTAACCAAGTAAAATATGACTGTAATTTTCTTTGGTTCAATTTATTTAAATATTGGTGTAAAAAATAAATAAATAAATGTTGGTGTCAAAGTTTAAAATACAGTAAATAATTACTCCTATACAATAAAAAATATTAAAAGATCTATCCGTGTAAAGTATGAGATGCCATAACTATATTATTTTGCCAAATTAGTGGCAAAAGCAGGCAAACAACGACAACAAACCCTGTGAGTCCCAAAAATGGAGGGTCTTGGGAGATAGACTTTACCCTTACTTGGAAGTAGAGATGTCATTTCCAAAAGACCCTAGCTGATATACAGAAGGAGTGAAACCCAAGCGATGGAAAATGGGCAAATGAAGATGATAAATTTTGACTCATGAAATCATAAATAATGGACAATGACATCCATTTTATATCAGAGAGAGTATAAGAAAAACCAATTTTAGTGCTGACTTTAAAACAATAATAAAAACCTTTCATACCCTGCTAAAAATTTGATATAAATTTTTGTTTTGGGGAATATTACTCCATATGTAGTATAGAAACAGTAGTAATAAAAAACTAAACTACAGAGTTTAATGCATGGTTATTGCAGTATTAGGAGTTTGGGAGTGTGTTTGAAAAATGCTTTTGAGCTTCTACTTCATTGAAACACAATTCTAAGTATTTGCATATCAGCTTTAGATTATAGGTTGTGAATTCAGAAGTGTAATTGTGTTGTAGAAGTGGTTTTCCCCAAAAAGCTCGGAGTAACTGCTTTCTGCTTCTGATTTATCACTTTTGTTTTTTCAAGAATTCACCGCACTCACAAACACCCTCCTAATTAGGTTTTCATCTCCTGCTCGGTGGTTACTTTCTTTCATACCTCAGTGGTTACTGGCTTACTGCATCAGTGGTCAGTGTCATAGAAACTAAACTGTGATTTTATTTTGCTTTTTATTTTTTTGGTAAATGGTGAAAATTATAGTATGGTTGTGTTATGGTGCAATTGTATCAAGGAAAACAAGTATATGTGATGCTATACTATACTACACTTCATATCAGAGATTTATAAGTGAGAAGAATTAAAATTGGTGATTATGCCTCTTAATGTTGTTATTAGAGATAGCTTGCTGTTTTATGAAATATGTATGCAGTATCTGGATTTTTACTCATATTATTTGTGTATTGTTGTAATAATTCTTGTTGTCAGGAAATCTAAAAACAGATTCCAGAGAGCATTGGAAAGTTTAATTTGAACCATCCTCTGAAGGGCTTTTCTGTTTCTAACTCAAAATGGCATTTAGAGGGAGGGGACGCGGGCGCGGAGGATATGGTGGTGGCTTTAAACGAGCAAAGGAAGAACCATTTGAGCTATTCCCAGCGATCGATGATGAGACCTTGGGCAAGGCAACGATGGTTTTTCCTGAACAGAAATCTCTAGGAAGTGCATATTTAAAGATAATGAGGGAATGCAGATCCTCTCCTTACTTTATCCGCGATGAAACTAGCGGTGTTTCAGATGATAGAAAAAGTACGGACATAGAACGGTTTTCAGACATGAATTCCAACAAATCCAAAGCGAAATCTGAACTCTCGGATTTCATCACGATCTCTGCTGCGTTATACCCTGCTGAAACGGCCAAGCGCAAATTGATGATGATACGCCGTGCGAAAAAGAGGGTTCGATGGAGTGAAGATGTAGATTTGCAAAACCTGGACTTTGAGAGGTTCGAGCGAGACTCCGATGGCGAAGATGGGAAGAAAAATGATAGCGAAGATGACGAAGACGACGAAGATGGAGAAGAGAATGTTGAAGATGACGAAGACTCATTCGACGAAGATGATGACTACATGAAGAATGAGGATTTTGATGATGATGAGGATGACTTCAACATGGACGATGATCCCTATGATGATGAGGGCACCTACGATTGATTCATTCATGATGTTTCTTTTGTCGTTTAGAACAATATTTTCAATTAGCGCTAACGTTTTCTTTTAATTTTACAATGGTATAGGATAATTTTAAAAGCGTTAAAGCTAAATGTGATCGTTAGATAATATTTTCAAAATGCTAAAAGTTGGCCAGAAGGGCATTCTCTGATTTTCTACTAGTATTAATTTGTAGCTTATACTAATAAATTGTGATAAATTTATGGTTTTTAATTTGTCACCTGTACCTTTTGGCCCTCTCATAGAGGGATTTGGCTTCTCATGGCAACCTAAGAGAACTTAGGAAATGGACATGGTGTATATATAAATATAAATGGATCACACACATGTTGATCACATGTAAACACTTAGTACTAAATTGTCAACATAGAATCGATGGTGTTAAATAAATAGATATTTTCTCCGTCTTGCAGAACATTTTCTGTTTTGATTTTTAGAAGAGAAAGTTATAAAAGTTTGATCAGGTGAAACGAAGATAATTAAAGCGAGTAGGGTTTGGAGAATGTCAAAATGAATAAGCGTAGAAGCTTGTTGGGATATGTTCAGTTAGATTTAGAAAAACTAATAGTAATTGTGCCCATTTAGGCCGGATTGAAATGTTTTATGAAACGTGTAAGATGAGAAAGTTGAAAAATTTTACGAAACGGAAGAAAGTATAGACACACGGGATTAAAACAAAATAGATTTGTAGTATCTTTTTTAGTACTATTGGTTTAATTCTAATGTACTCCCTTCGTCCATTAAATTTTCCTATTTCGAAAAATCTATAAAATATTATTCTTTTAATATTATTTTATTTAGAAATTGGTATAAAATGGAAAGTATAAATTATATAAATTTTCACATACTACACATGTACATCGTAACTTCTACTCTATAAAACAAGTTGTGACAAAATTCATCTTAGAAATATTGACCGCAAATTATAGAAAATGTATATTTAGTTATAGTGTAAATTTAATACTCCTTCCGTCCCAAATATTAGTCTAGTTTTGATTTTATGCGATCAACCATGATCAAACTTTGAACTATAATTAAATAAAATTATATGATATATTAATTAGATGAAACTTTATTTTGAAAACATATTACAAAATAAATCTAATAAAATTATTATTGTATTAAGATTTAATATATTTCTTAATTAATGATCAACGTTTATCAATTTTTGCGGACGGATCTACATTAGGGAGAAATCCTAAAGTAGGACTAAAACATTGAAAATGTACCAAAATAGGATTGTCATGTTTTTATTCTCGAAATAGAACTTACATTACCAAACATGGTAATGTATATTACCAAAAAAGTATAGCAATGTGCACATGTACAGTGCCACATTAGCACAGTGCAAAGTCCTATTTCGGTAAAAAAAACATGAAAGTCCTATTTTGGTACTTCTCTCTATGTTTTAGTTCTATTTTGGGTGATTTCTACCTACGTTAGGGCTCACGGGTACCCCAGTCAAAATCTCTTGCTAATTTTTTTTATAAAAATTGTAATAGTGGCCTCCAGTAAAAAAAGTCCCTAGTCAATTTTTAAACCCACTACCATACTCAAAGCTCCCGCTGCTGCTTGCTGGCTCTCCAGTCTCCACCTTCCAGGTATTTTTTTTCGAGTTTTTGTTAATTAAAAATCATTTTATTTGCCTATTAGATTCAGGGTCCATTTGATACACAAAATTGATGGATTTGGAATTGATCGAATTGAGACTTGAATTCTATGAAATTGATTTGAATGGAATTGATTTCTTCAATGTAAAATTTGCACTAAATAGGACTAAAACATAATGACTTTTCCAATGTATGACTTAAACTTTTTTATTCCCTAAATAAGACTTAATAATGACCTAGTGAGAGGATTAATGTCCAGTAATGATGGACATTTACTTGAATAATGACTATTTGATAATGACCAAAAGTCCTACATTAGGAAATAAAAATATATGGTCCTATATTGGGAAAGTCATTATGTTTTAGTCCTATTTAGGTAAATTTCTCTTCTTTAATTTCAATTCATTTTTGACACTACCAATTCTAAATCCGCATATTTTTGTATCATCAAACAGCAAAATTGGAAACCAAATAATAACCATTCGGTTCGGTTCTTTTACATTCAGTTTCGGTTTTTTCCATGGTGAGAGAAGAAACACACACTATTATACACTAGAGTAAATTCCATAATTGGACCTTTAAAAACAGGGGAGTTTCCCTATTTAGTCCTCAAATATTACCCCAGTGGTCCTTCTTTTATGGGTATCTTTCCACAAATAGTCCTTTTTTTGATCTTCAATCATGTTGGTGTTAATTTAAGAGCTAAAAGTGTAATTTCACAATGATAATATATCTTTTTTGTCATTCACAATTTCAAAGGTTGTTCCGTTCGCATCGTTTGTGAATTACAGTCGCTTTCAACTACAATCATAGTCTACAAATGTGGTCTTTTGTCAGAATCTTAGCCCACAATCATAGTCATTATTATTGTGTTATTCGCTTAACCAATATCAGAACACGTCACTAGACATAATGTTGATGTCAAATTATACTTTTAGCCTTTAAATTAAAACCAACATGGGAGAAATTAAAAAAAGACCATTTGTGAAAAGGCACCCTTAAAAAAGGACTACGGGGAAATAAAATATTGAAACCCCCCTGTTATAAAAGACTGATTATGGAATTTACTGTATACACTATTATAGGTCTTGTTCAAAAGGTAAATGCGCCCTAGACACATGACAGATCAGAGGGAGGCCAGGGGTAAATACAGTAAGATTTTTCCTTTTCTTCTTCTTCTTCAATTCTTTCTTTTTTTTTTTTTGACCAAAAATTAAAGGCTAGAAGTTCATAATTAAGAATGATGACAACAAGACCCGCGCGCAAGGTCTCTCTCTAATTAAGTTCCTTAGCTTCCTTTATTTATCCCCTTTTTTTTTTCTCACTCCGTATAAATATATATAGACATATATAGTAGTGTGTGAATTTCGGAGAAACACTTCATATGGATCGTTTTGATGGTTATGGTTTAATTTTTGGGTTTGTTTAATGAAAAAAGCTTGAGAAAGCTCAAATAAATTATGTCCCACTTTTGACTTTAACGCCTTTACGGAAATTATGGCTTTTCTTTTGAAGTGTTTGCGGTGCCAGAAAAACACAAGTACTGGTGGCGACCGAGGAGGAGGAGGAGGAGGGAACGGGAATGAGTGGGATAGTGGCGGCGGCAGCGATGGGGAGACGACGGTGGCGGCGGCGCCGAGGGAATCGTCATATAATGCATCCACCGTCAGGGAGACGTCGGTGGCGTATGATGATGAGCAGTCGGAGTGGGTGGCGGAGGTGGAACCCGGCGTTGACCTCACTTTGCAACCTCTTCCTGGCGGGGGTGGGAATCAGCTCAAACGAATCCGTTTCGAGTACACGCACCAGGCCACTTCTTTTTTAATTCCAACCTACTCCTCCTTCCTAGTTTTGATATTCTTATACTAATGTCTCATTATACTAAAATACTACTCAAATATTATAGGAATTCCTTCAAACCTGCGGTATGGGTAAAGTAGACATTTTAATATAAAAAAATAAATAAAAGTGTTTTGTTAAATAAATGAAACAGTGTTTTATTTTACCAAAAGATTAGCCAAAATCTTGAGACTAACGAGTTGAAGAGCCATGAACATTATTCTTTTTCTAGATAGCTAATTAAATACTAGTCTAAATTAATTGCAAATGAATTCACTACTACTATATGTTTAGCGATGAGATGATGATGATGATGATGATGATGATGATGATAATAATAATAATAATAATAATAATAATAATAATACTGGCCCGGCTTTGGCTTATATTTTTTGCAGCCGGAGCAGGTTTGACAAGTGGAATGCACAGCTTTGGTGGGGAGAGAATTGGGACAGGGTTAATCAGCTGTACAATATCACGCAGAGTAACCAATCATATCCAACTCCTACTCGTACCGTGGAGGTGCCCAGTTAATACCCAATAGTTTAACTAATAATTAATTAAACTCAATGATATAATCTCCATTGGGTTAAGTTACCAACTCAATAATATGTATAACTCTAAGAATTGAAAATCTTCTATTCATTTATTGATGGAGTATAAATTGATTTGAAAATGTTAAAGCTAAATAATGGTGAAACTGTTGCGAATCAACAAATGGGTTTGCATGCAGACAGACTCACAAAACACGTATTCTCAGCGGGGATCATTAGCGAGGAGCTCGTCGATGGCGGGAGGAGGATATGAGGATGAAACGGCAGTGGCCTCCTCTTCGGCATCCCATGTGAGCTGTGCAAGTACTGAAGTGGAGCGAATGTTCGTTGAAGAAGTTGAGCCTGGGGTTCATATCACATTCGTCAAGTTCTACGGTGAACCTCTTAAGCTTCGCCGCATCCGATTTGAGTAGGCAACCTAACTTACATCTCATGATCATTTTTGTGCTTAGCTTCCATGTTAATTTGTTGCGATTCTAATGAATCTCTCTCTCTCTCTCTCTCTCTTACAGCCGAGCGACATGGGGAGAGGAGCGTGCCAAGCTATGGTGGGAAGAGAATAAGGAGCGGTTAATAATTGAATACTCCTTATAGTCCTACGGCACACATGTGGAACGCTAGCTCTATACATTACCTTTTAACACACACGCGCACACACACACCACACGGATTTGTCAATGTGCAATGGCATGGCAGCATTGCTTTGGTCTGGTCTTTTCGACCCAATTTGTATAGTTTCAATCCAGGTAGTAGTGCGCGTGCGTAGTTTGATCGCATGATTCGAAATTTCGCATGCCATGTACGTACACTACACACACTAGCTACTACCTACTATGTACGGTTTATTTTTAAGAAAAACTTTTACTTATTAATTATAACAAACGACCCTTTTGATTTTGTTCGTTTTTTAAGAGATAAACTATTTAACTGTGTGCTCTCTCGAGTGAGTGCGACGACTGACTGACTTTTGTGGCTATGTATTTCATTCTCTGGCATGTTTTATCCATATTTTTGTTCTCACTTTCCGTTTTAGTCCGTCCCATATCTTTCTCCCAATTCCCTTATTTGGCAAATACATTATATCAAAAATGCTAATTTAACCTTCCTCAAAACAGCCAAAAAAAGAAAAAAATGGACAAAAACAATGGAACGGAGTGAGTGCATGCTATGTTGTGTTTTGTTTACTCTCCTATTATGCTCTAAAAAGTCACTATTCGTGACATATTCAGGTTGAGCACCTCGCACAGCCCTGAGGCTATTCATGTCAAACTGGCAAGCAAATCGTCTCCCGATAACTATAACAACATAGCCATAAGAGAACGAGGCAGCAATTTATTTCTCCATATTAAGTGAGTCATGGTAGACAAAGAACAACCACATTGTCAGTAAAAACTAGTAAATGAAAAACATGTAGCGTCGAATACCCAACACATCCACAAATCGCAATCACATAATTCGCAGCAAAAGGGAAGAGGGAAAAACCTCGGCTAATATAGAGACAATCTTCATCCTGCCACTTTCCTGGGGTAAGTTCTTCCAGGAAGAACATCATTAGAGTTGGGGAACATGGCAGGGTTACCCTGCCAGCCCCCAGCCTTCATAGGTTGAGGAAACTGCTGCTGCTTCAAGGCAGGCCTGGCTGAACCAAAGCTCGTATTTGAATACTTCGGGCTTGCATTTGACCATCCCCTAGCATTTTCCGCTGTCGATCAAAGCGCATCACCACCCATTAATTTTTAATTATGGAACCTTACAAAAAGGGCTACTGTATATGTGCAGAGATTTTTTTTTCTTTTTTTTAAAAGCATATTTAAGTCTATAAAATAATCATAAGACCACAATGAAATGGTAAATTAAATCGACAAATGTAGCTGCTACTAAATACACATACACCATAAATTTGATCTGTGTTTTGCTAACTTACTTGGAACTTTCATTGCTGGGGGTCGATATTTTGGCTGTTGTTGCTTCATAGAGTCTGCAGGGGGCTTAACCATCTTTGTTGGATTCTGACCAAGGAGTTAACAATAAATAAAGAAATCAGACATAACCATTTGTTTTCAATAACTTCTACAAGTAACTAGCCGAACCGGAAACATAAAGGTAAAAGAAACGTACTTGACTGTTCATCTCCAACTTCCTTTGAGCACCTTTGAAAAGAATAACAAGTCAGCTTTACAATTCTTTAGGAGTTCAAATGAAGAAATGTTTCTAATCTTTAATATAAAGAGATCCACTAAAATTATGAATACATATGAAAATGTGAGTTGACATGGCAGGGGATGGGACTTAGGAGTAGATCTTCTATACATGTTGCTTCTAGCTATGGCCCACTTAAAAAAAATTATCACTATTTTTTTTATCTTACTCTTGGGGGATCCAACTGGGTTGTTGTAGTTAATGACTCGGTTACAATGTAGAATTTATTCATACTTTTCTCCTCAACCTGTTGAAGCTCAGAGAGTTATCAACAAGTGACCTCCCATTTGGGAGTCCCAAAGCGATGCCACTGGACCACAAGCACTTTAGCTGGCCAACTAAAATTTAATAATTAAAATATAATGGATTACCTGTGCTCAAGGGCAGATGTGATTTAACAGCACAGAGGTCACCAGTGGGAGTTGAATTGGATGGTATAGTGGCTGAGGACCACCTCTTGGGTTTTTGTTCCAATGTGGGCTTCACACCAGATGTAGCAAAACCAGGGGTATTGCGCCCTACTGCTAGCATATAGTAACAACGATCAACATTAGGAAGGACTGTTCTTAATGAGACTTGGGAAAAAGGGGTGGTGGGGTGGGGTGGAATTTAGGCTGTTTAGAGTGAGTGAAGAAAACAAACCAGCATTAGGTGCTCTTGGGGGGCATGCTTTAGTGCGTATAGATGGTGGAACAGAGAAGCAACTCTGCATCACACAATAAAGCCACATGGAGAATTACATAATGATTGTAAAGTAAAATAAACATATACAAATGAAAAAGTTGCTCCAATATATATTTCACTTGTTTCTTTCGATACCTACAAACAAATTGGAGAATATCTCTCAATTTATGACAATTACATACTCTCTTTGTCACAAATTAATATTCCCACTTAATATTATGGCCTCTGAATGACTTATGTTTGTATAAATGTTTTCATTGATCATTTGATAAAATAAAATATTTTGTTACCCTTGTTTTGCAGAACATTTGATGTAGTATTGAATGGTGTAATTTGTACTACGTACTTTATATTTTTATACCAATTTACAAATAAAATCATTTTAAAAGAAGAGATTTTGCACGTTCTTCAAAATGGGAAGAATAAACTGGGACGGAGGGAGTATAACAGAGAACGTGGTTCCCTACTACGAAAAAACAATTCACTAGACGGGTATGCAACCTCAAAGAAACGATGCTGAAGAACTTCCACAGCTGTTGGCCTCTTGCTAGGATCCCATGAACAAAGTGACTGCACAAAAATTAACATGTGTAAAGAAACTACAAGCAGAGTGTTTTCAATAACAAGACTGAATTTATCTCCCCAAGAAAACATAAGAAAAGAGTGAGTACTCACAGTAATAAGATTGATTGCATCCTCACTAGCAGAAGGAATTGGCACTGAGAGATGTACACCTACAACCTACATTGTGAATGTAGACGCTATCATGAATTTCACGGACAAACACAGCCTAATGATTTTTTGGATTCAACAAAGATAAATCACTAACCTTTGGGAACTGATATCCAACACTATTTGCAAGCTCAAGACCATCTGACCATTCTGTCTTTGTTGGGGTTCCCATTACATTGCATATTTTCTGAATTTCATCTGCTTCACTGCATCAACAATAAAACAACCTCTCTCAGTGTCACAAACAGAAAAACGAAAGGTGAGTAATATAGGAGAAAAGATCTACTTCAAGCCTGGGAATAGAGGGCGAAGAGTAAACATTTCAGCCATTATTGCACCCATTGCCCACATATCTGAAAACAAATCATACCAGAATCTCATCATACAGTGGAGAGAAAAAACCAAGGAGACTAAACTGCCTTCTAACGGTCAAGGTTCATAAGTCTCATCTAATTTAACACATACCAACAGCAGACCCATAAGTTGGAGACTGGAGAAGAACTTCGGGAGCACGATACCTGCATTTATACACTTGAGCTTCCACTTCCCAGTTAACATAATAAAGTCATTTCTATTCTTTTATAAAGTGCAGGGTAACTTACCAGCGTGTGGAAACATATTCAGTATATGGTGGTTCAGAATTGACCTCACGAGCAAGACCAAAATCAGCTATTTTAATGACATCCTTCGACACCAACAAGTTCTCTGTGCAACCAACAAATTCTATGAGCACAGACATCACGCCAAGTGCACAGTTGCATACAAGCAAATATGAACCCATAGAGTTAACCAACAAATCAATCAATAGAGAATAAAGATTCTGAAATAAACATTTTTTTAAACATGGCAGAAAAATAGCAATTATTTATGCATTACTATTGAGTAATAACCATTTCTTGGAGGAACTGACAATCATATCAACTTATTTGTCACCGTAGTGACTGCAAAACACAACCAGGTCTTGAATTTTAGGAATTATTACAAATTACAGACAACAGTGACTGTTCATTTCACAAATGAACAGTAGTGGTGGACATCAAAATCGGACACATTGACAACTTTAAAGTCAAAGGTGTAAACATTTCTGCAATGTCAGCTTTCCCTACTCTCGACAGTCAAGGCAAAAAATGATCAGCATAAGAACAGAGTTATGTATTCCGTATATGTGCAGTACCTAACTAAATAGACTGGTTTATCTATGAGACGAGACCTACCAGGCTTAAGGTCGCGATGAAAATATCCCTGTTGATGCATATATGCAAGACCTTGAAATACTTGGAAGCACCATTTTTTCACTTGAGTTTCTGAGAAAAGCTTCCCTCTGTCTTTCATAAGTTCATATAGATTGCACTCCTGGAAAGAAGTTAAAGAGACCAATGTGGAAGTGTTTTTCAATATAAAAAAGTTAGAAGGACACTGTTTAATATACCATACCATGTATTCAAACACAAAAAATAAAGTGTCATTTTCCCTGATCACTTCCTTTAGCTTCACAATATTAGGATGGTTCATTCTCCTCAAAGACTGCCAAGGAAAACTTAATGTTTATATTTGCATAATCTAAATAAATTGCAATAAATGCTTAAAACGGACTGAATTTTACCTTAACTTCTCTTAAGTTCATACATTCTTCCCATGAATAATACTTCTTTTTCATCCTTTTAATTGCTACCTGTTCAAAGGCAAGGGCTTAATTTGATTGAAAACATAAAACAATGCTCAACTCTTAAAAACCAAAATACCATACCATTTCACCAGTTTGAGTATTTAGGGCACGCCACACACGCCCAAAAGTACCATTACCAACTTCAGTAATTATTTTATACCTGCATAAATGCATGATTTTTAAATTAAATCAACCAAAAAGAAAAACATAAAACAAATGAGGGGGCATGAACATTAAGCTAACCAACTCACCTTTCCATTTTTATTGACCAACACAGTACAGTTGGTGGAGATTGGAGAGAGAGAGAACACACAGATAGAGTGTATGTATTTCTTTCTTTAATAGATGTTTGGAGAAGACAACAGATATAAATAACTACTGGCCTAGCTGATTTCAGAAAATTCACTGTTAAGTTTGTATACTCTTCCGCATAAAACCAGCAGGATTATGGAGGAGCTTTACAACCATAATAGTTTCCACATCAAATAACTCATAACAGAGACCGGGAACACAAGGAGGCGGAAACAAGGTACCGCAAGGAGTACGACTGTTAAGCATCATGATATCACTCACAACCTAGCTGAAACATAATGCAGCCCATGCAAACAGGTTTGATTGTCAGCTCATTGCACGTTGTATTGAGACTTCTCAAACAACAAAACAACCTCTCATTTATACTAGGCACTGCTGATGTAGATTCTTCAGCCGAGTGAACTGAATACTCCAAGCAATTCAGATCTCTAAGAAGCTATGACATTAAGCAAAATTTGTAGGCACTCTGAGTCTTTGTGATATTAAATAACCTCATTGATTCTCTCAGAGAACTTTATTCCTGTAGTAGAGATGATAGAGAAGTCAGGTATAAGAATAAAGGTGTCTTTGATCTCAATTTTTGTAAAAGAAATATGAAAACGAAGCCATACCTCACATGAAAAACTTGAAAAGATCTCAAGTGGTTGTTGTATTAGGAAAGCAGTGGCGATAATAAATTGCAAGATGATAAAATTGAGTCGCAAATGACATAATAACGAAGGGAAGGGTGCTGCTTCTCACACTTAATAAAACAACGAACTTGCATTTGGCCTCTTGTGCATATTATTTAAAGAAATCGCCTGACTAAGTGCAATTGACAAAAGAAACAAGAAAAACTCTGCCACTGAGAAACCGCCAATCAAGCACTTCCTGGAATGACAAAACTCGATGCATGCAGCAATTTGACCAGAGGAACATTTGCTCCATATCCTAAGTATTATGAATCCCTTGGAATTGTAGTCAAAGACAACCTGAAATGGCAAGGACTAAGCAACTGAGCCAATCATATTATCTTGGAGATCCAGGGAATAAGCAATTGAGCGCAAGAACACATACACGAGTATCGAGTTTAAAACAAAGAAATTCAGCTAGCAATAAATCTTTTTAACCGTTCTGGCACTGATCTCCTCGTCAAAGCTTGAAATAATCAACAAATAGGTTTTTTTTAAACCAACCGTTGGCAAAAACATGATAAAATTGGGTATAAGATGTTTGAATTAGAAGCTATATGAGGTGATCGAATCAAATAAAAATACATACCAGAAAGAACCCAGACAAAATTAGGTCGAATAAACAAAAACAGAGCCATGAAACTACAGATCAAATCAAAGATTGCACACCGCCACAATAACATCATGTCAAAGTTTTAAGGCAAAAAAATCATCTCAAGAATCAAACATAAACAAAAAAAAATACGAGACTCACAGAAAATAATAATCGAAAACCCAGATTCAAAAGAAAAAAACAATTCATCCATCGAATCCAAAAAATAAAAGAATAGATCCAAAAGAACATAAGAAGAAGAAGAAGATAACACACGTTCACACGCAAAAGCTTAGAAAGAAACGTACGTATGAAACGTAGAGGAAAGGAGAGAGAGAAAGAGGGACCTGAAGGGGAAACGGCATAACCTAAAGGGAGCCAGCCACGGAAGAAGTGATCCGAGGAACTTCTTCGAGTCTTCTATGGCCGTCTATGTTACGGAGTATGTTATTGTAGAATACAGCGTTTAGTTGTTTATATTTACTCCAGGGACATATAGCGTGATCCCATCCGGGGTACGTAACTCTTCCAATTGATCCAAACTCATGTCTCATTTTTTTCAATTTCATCCTCTAAATTCAGTTGATATTGGTTCAATTTGTTTACCCTAAAATCAATTAAATTTGAGATATAAAATTAAAAGGTTAGAGAGAATGGGTTCGAATTGAATATTTGAAATTTAGATATTCAAATTTTTTAGAATTGGATATGGATAGATTTACCGATTTGAAATTCTCAAATATCTAGATGACCGGATCAATTCAAGTAATTTCTAATATAAAGTACTCCGTCCGTCACACTTCTATTTAAGCCACAATGATGCACGAGCGGGTAATACAAACGAGATTGATATGTCAGATCTAACTAATGTGGCGTTTCTTATTCTACTTGAACTGTGTAATATGTCATTTTTTTCAAAGTATAGCATTTAGAACATTCCTTTGCCAAACGTTAGAATAGATATGACTATTCGTATTTAGGAAAAAGTGATATGTATAAGTCTCATTTGCATAAATTGCCCTTATAAAAATAGCTTTATCACATTTGCTTTCCAAGCAAATATTTTATTATTAGTATGTAATGCAATTTTTATTTCACTAGTAACTATTGCTTATCTAATTTAATTGGTTGAAAAAAATCAAATAGGAAAAATAGTTTAAGATTGTAGACATATCTATTAAGGTATGAGTAAAATTTATTCTTTTGTCATCAGGAAAAAAAATTTACTCTTTTTATTAAATTAAAAACAAATTTATCACTTCTTTCTTTCTATAAGAAGAATGGTTAAAGATTGTCGCAGGTGGAGCTAAATTGCTAATATGTGAATTACAAAACCATAGTGCGAGCACGAAGGTGTACTAGATCGTTTTAGAGTATTGCAAGTGTCATTAAAGGTCCAATTCAAGGGTTAATCATCATCCAAAAAAATTATGTTACATATAGCATAGTAATGTCTACATGTACAGTGTCACATTACCACAGTGTAAAATCTTATTTCGGGAAAAAACATAAAAATCTCATTTTGATACTTTTTTATGTTTTAGTCCTATTTAGGGTGAATTTCAATTATTCACTTAACATATTCTCCGGAGTACTTTTTAAATTTCAGGTATTATTAACGTTTTGTTTAACTTATTCTTTTGCTTATTACTTATTCTTATTATAAATGAATCAGATCATTAGAAATAATTTTAAGTATAACTATAGTCAGATCAGATCTTCGAAATCCAGATCAGATCAAATCAAACCAGAAGAACGGAACACAACCTTTAGTTACTATCAAATTTAAGTCAGCTCTCAAATTATCAAATTTTAATTATTTTAGCGTCTAGTACAACCAGTACTAGAAGTTCCAAATAATAAATTCCATATCCATAATCTATAGTTTTTTTTAAATGTACTCTTTAATTCTCCTTATACACTATCGGTCTAAAAAAACAATCTTTTTACTATTTATAAAATCAAACATCATTAATTTTTCAGCTCCATTTTATTAATTGTTTAAAAAAATAATATAGTCTCTTGTTTTGTACTTATTACAACTTTTGATGTAATTTTAAAATTTGTATAAAAAATTTATAATTTAAATTGAAAATAAATTCAATCAAACATCGAACCAGCGTTTAGTTTTCGTATTTCAAGCATACAAATAAACCATGTTTGCTTATTTTCGTCTCTCCTGGCGTGTCCAAAAGCATGAGTTCCATACCCAATATCCGTGTAGTCTAGAAATGAGAGTACACAAAGGGCCTCTTTGAAAATAGCAATAAAGGTTAACATTTTAAAAATACTATCTAAGAACAGTATTTAACATTAGTTTTCGTACACATGTAGTGCTATTTAGGGAAAGTCATTATGTTTTAGTGTTATTTAAGTAAATTTCTCTAGTTTTTTCAAAGTTAATCTACACCGTTAAAATTTTATCTAAAACATTAACGCTAATCGAAAACATTATTCTCAAATAGATCCAAAACCAATAAGGGTCAATTTGATAGAGAGAATTGATGAAATTATAATTGAATTGGGAGTTGAAATTTTTTAGAATTGACCCTACCAATTCCAAATCTGGATACTTTTATGCTACCAAATAACGGAATTGAAATTATTGTTAAAATTCTAATTCTATAGTTTGAATTCCATGTCCCAATCAGAGGAGAGTTTTTTTTTTTTTGAAACCGCAGACAGCATTAAAATTCACATTTCCAAAAGGATACCCTTGCTCTGGGAAAACCAAGGCATATAAAGAACCAGAAACAACAACAATAATTATTCGATGTTGCGTTCCCCACTATATATATTACACAAAAACTGAACCCCAAAAATCATTGACTGAAAAAACCAACTAAACAGGAGCAAAAAAAAACAAATGAAACAAAGTACACTAATATACAAGAACCTGAGTCAAGATTGAGATTCACAAGCCATGAGCCTGAACGCATTATACTAATAGCTATAGACTTACCGTGAATGATCGGCCAAGGCCGTAACAACTTAAGCTTTCACGGTTTGCCCGAACTCAAAAGCCCCCAACTTGCTGCCTCGGAACATTCCCGAATCTCCCGGGATTTGAAGACATATTGCTTCCATAAGCAGGTGGAACATTAGTATTGCTTCCATAGGCAGGAGGGGCATTAGTGCTGGGGCAATTTCTTGACCAGTGCCCAGCCTCACCACATTTAAAGCAATTACCTGAACCACTGCCACTTGCTCCACCAGAAGTCATCTGACTGTTGAAACTGCCACCCACATACCCTTGGCCCTGTTGATCCAGTGTGAACTTTGGACAGTTAGCAGGGGTGTGGCCCGCACCGCCACAGCCACTACAGTACACACTGGGGGACTGTGTAAGCCTAGAGCCACCATATTTGTTTCCATATGGACTGGTTTGATCTGCTGGCTGCACTCTGCTTGTCAAACTGCCACCATAGTTCATTACATTACTCGCGTTTTCTCTAAACCCACTTCTGAACCCCGCATTGTTCATCCCAGCCGAATTTGGAACTGCATTTCCAGCATTTGATTCGCCCGACACATTGAACTTATCAATCAAATCCAGAACATATTTGGTTTCTGTTTGGAGATTCACCTTCTCCACCTTCACTGCTGTGGATTTCACACGCACATCATCACCAAACATTTCCTCCTTCACCTTCAGTTTGAAAATATACTTCCTGAAAAGTACACTCCGCATGATTTCTTGAAACCTATCGTCATCTTGCTCTTCATATTTTATGAGATACAAATCTTTTGCAGATACACCGATCATCTCCTCTCCGCTTTCCTGAAAAGCAGTGACCCAAGTCAATCCGGTGTGGTCCTGAATCTGGAACTGGAGAATGTATCGATAATCACATTCATCAACAGTCTGATCACATTTTTCGCAGAGCCATTTTCCATCTCCGTTATTAGTGACCTTCTTACTACACTGTCGATCCCCAGTTTTGATGGGACATGCAGTGTAGCAGAAATTTTCTGGCCTGATAAAACTTGGGGTAGCACTTATAGTTATCCAATCAGGCTTTTCAGAAGTCCCTAATTTTTCATCTTTTATCTGAGAGATAGTTTTTCTGACATCTGTCCGGCCAACAGTTGATTCTCTAGAGATGGATATTGTAGGAGCACTCTTCCCATCCCTCTCAAACCATTCCCTAATCCTGTGAGCCTCAGGAAAATCAGGTTCTATGAAGAGTTGACTTGATGATATAGTTCCCAGTGCTTTCCCATTGAAGTCATTGACTCTTCCAGCCTTCACTGCCAATACAGGAAACATGCCAGAATCACACATGTTCTGAAGTGTTTGTCCTTCTGCATTGCAGAAATTTCCCCACATAGTCAATTCAATGCTTCTGCCAGACATATCCTTCAGTTGGAGAGCTCTTTTCAGAACTTCAGTTCCATTTTTCCTCATTATTGAACTACTGGGACTAACAGAGAACACTATGCCAATCACATCTAGAATGCTATTGTTGTCCATTTCTTCTATATCACTTATGGACCTAAAGTGAAACTGCTGCTGAGGAATTGATTTGTCATCTTCCAAAAAAGGTTGTACAACAGAAGTGGTCTCTAGATGGATCTCATGATCATTAGGCAGAGTGTTGAAAGGTTTGCTTCTTTCCGGAATAACTTTCACTGTGCCTTTTGATATCATATATACTTTATTGGGTTCGATCAGGGGGTAAAATTGGTCAGCCACGGCATTAAAGCATGTCACCTTTATTTCCCCACCTTCAGAATCAAGAAGATCAAAAGAGAACACTTTGCCATCACCACGAGCATTATTGTAGTGTCTAAGTTCCCCTTTTGCAGTTACTCTAGCCTTAATAGTCCACCGAGATTGATAAGGATTAAGAGCAGCAATTGGAATGATGCGTGGTGGTGCTTCATTTTTAGCTATGGGTCCTCTATTTGAATACATCGGGGGTGGCGGTTGCTGATAAGATTGCTGAGGTGGGGACAAGTATGTGTTTGCGGGCCCCTTGTAAATTGCAGCACCAGATTCTGGTTTAGAGTAAAAAGATGCATTTGGGGGATTATACCGACCAGAGTCAGCATGGCTGATTGAACTACCATGACCTATATGCCCATTTCTTTCAAAATGTACATTTGGTTTACCATCAAAACCAGTACCACCTCCCGGTGAACTAAAAGATTGAGGATTTCCAGTCATGAAACTGGACTGGTGATTCATAGAAGGCTGAACAGTTGTAGGTTGCTGAGCTTGTGGAGGATGCCTTGCCATGGATGGGCTGTTACCATTGGGGTTGAGTGAAATATGTCTTGGCGTCCCAATAGGCTCACACTTGTCAAGAATTACATCCAGTTCCAGGATGATTATAATCCTGCTTAAAATATTCAAGTGTCAATATCTAGTAAAGACTATGAACATAGTTCATAAAATGTATCAGTTTAGTCAGCCAGAAAATTAGATATAACACCATCGTATTAGATAAGGAAGCATATGAACATTTTCTAAATCATTAATCATAGATTAGAGATGTAAGAAGTATACGATAAGTTCCACAGTCTTGAGTTGTGTAGCACTGCTACTTTAATAAGACTAAACTAAGCAACACATAACTCAAATTACAAGAAAGAGCAAAGCAAGAATTCAAAAACAAAGAATTTGAAACATGACTCCACATTTTCCAGATGAGTACTATTTACCTTGACTATGTGAAGAGGAGAAGAAAATGCAAAGTGATGAGTAACCATATGCCACATACTCTATATGAAGCTTATGAAGAGTATCCGATCAACATAAATTGATAAAGGAGACAAAAAGCATTAACTTCTAAACATAGTTTGGCTGTATTCATTTTAATACACAATCCCACAAAAGCAAATTATACAAACACTCATACATTGAATTGTCTTAGACCGAAACCTTCTTATACTAGCATAAAAAGGTAAGAACCTCTTAGCATTATTGTGGATGAAAAACTCCCACAATAAGCCTCATAATGAATATGAAAAGCAAGTCACGATTATATATTGTATTCAAAAGTAAAGAATACAAATGACACTAAAATGTTCTTACAATGTACAAAACATGGTCAATTAAGTAGATATTCGGGCGTATGTGTCTGTATGAACAGCAATCAAAACATAACCAATATATATCAAACTCAATACATGGAATTTTATGACAAACTAACAAAAGACTAAATCTTTTCCCGATTCACCATTTCTTCAAGTTCATTAAGAAACCTTATCAAATAAGTATGTTCAGAAATGGGGAATAAAGATTCCTTTATGATATGGGAAAAGCTAAAGCAGCGAATTTGGGGTGAAAGGAAACATTACACGCGACTTTGAATGACGTTACGGACGAATTGAGTCACTCGAACAACAGAGCCCTTCTGAAGCTGCTCAGACCGGACGAGATCGTTGCGCTGCGTAGCCAACATGCCTTGCTGGAGGAACTCGCCGTCGGATAGCATGATCCGGTAGCGCTCATTGGCGGTGTTCTGAGTCTGGGGGTTTACGAGCCGTAAGTCGACGACCTGCAGCACCGGATTCATGTCGGCGATCTGTGCGTCCCCGCTGGAGATCATTGCTAGTGCGCCTTCCGATAAACTAACCGGCGGATTCATTTTTCTTCTTCCAGTAAAAACCGAAAAGGGGAACTGAAGAGAATGGGGAGGGTTGTGGCGGAAAATGGAATGAATACAGGGAGAAGTTGGGAAAACCCTAGTGGTGGCCAGCGGTTAGCGGGAAATGGTATTTGAGGGAGAGTGGAGGGAGGGAGATGAATTCCCAAAGAAGCTTTGTATCAAGTTATCAACTAGGCTCGTACCCGCGTCTTGCACGGTCTAATTATAAACTACGGAGTATATAATTAAGGAAAAACATTGATGAAAGAAAATGAATACGCACGCGGTTCCATAACAATACACTACCCATTTATTTATTTTGATTTAACATAAAATTTGCATCGAGCCAGATACCAACATGAAAACATTGATGAAAGAAAATGAATACGCACGCGGTTTCATAACAACACTATCTATTTATTTATTTTGATTTAACATAAAATTTGCATCGAGCCAGACACCAACATTACTATGCATGCAGTTCCATATCAATACACTACTCATTTATTTATTTTGATTTGACATAAAGTTTGCATCGAGACACGCACTAATATTACTACGCACATGGTTCCATATCAATAAACTACTCATTTATTTATTAAGATTTGATATAAAGTTTGTATCGAGTCACGCACCAACTTTACTTCGCACATGGTTCCATAACAATACACTACTCATTTATTTATTTTGATTTGACATAAAATTTGCATCGAGCCACGCACCAAGATTACTACGCACGTTGTTCCATATCAGTACACTACCTATTTATTTATTTTGATTTGACATAAAGTTTGCATCGAGTCACGCACTAACTTTACTATGCACGCGGTTACATAGGAATATAGTACCCATTTATTAATTTTTATTTGACATAAAGTTTACATCGAGCCACACAGTAACATTACTACGCATGTGGTTCCATATTAATGCACTACCCATTTATTTATTTTGATTTGACATAGAATTTGCATCGAGTCATGCACCAATATATGCTTGGAAATAGAAAATCTATAAGTTAAATTGATTTGACATAAAGCACATTGAGCAACACAATAGATTTGACACTATTTTACTTTATGGAGCAATGCACCCATGATTTGACATGAAGATGTCCAACCCATAACCGCGTCAGCCAACCCACTTGGTTCAGTACATACCCGAACTCATTACCCGATAATTTTGGTGGGAACATTGTTCTCAAAACCCTCCTAGCATTGTATATAGTAGGATTTGCTAAATAAACTTTTTAACCAATCCATTAAAAGGCTAGATAGAGAAAATCTTTATATTTGATAGATTTGACATAAAGTTACATTTTTTCCAATGTTATTTTATAGAGCCACACAATGCTCTAACAACTCATATTGATTAGACATAAAGCCACTTTATAGAGACCATCGCTAGGAATAGGCCCATACCCGTCACTTCTATTGTCCGGCCCATACTCGAATTATTGGGCCTCTTCTTTTGGCGGGAACACTATTCATGAAGTCATCTTAGCATTGTATATAGGAGGATGTTCTGAAAATTGGACCGAACGTCGACCCAAACGAGGTAGTGGATCAATGGTTGAACGGTTGAACCGGTCAAATCGGAGGTCAACGACCCGGTCAACTATGTTTATAATAATAATAATAATAATTTATAATGTATATTAGATACTTTTAGTCAATAAAAATATTTTAGTTTATGTTATTAGTTTATGTTATTATTTCTCCATCTATTTTTTAATATCATGTACGTATGCTATTTCACACTTTTTATTTTTATTCTATTATTTTTATTATTATTAAAAATTAATATTGAATGTCTAACAAATACATAAATAATAAGGCGATACTCATATTTTCAAAAAGTAAAGACTAGATATTTTGTTTTTATATAAAAATGACATTTTAAAGTTTATATTTAGTTGATTAAAATGATTGAAAAAGAAAAAAATAAACTTTGTAGCATATTAGATTATAATTAATAAATATTACTTGATTTTTAAAGATAACAATTTTTTTAAGTATAAAATATACAGAATATATTTATTTTCAAACAAAAATTAAATAATTCTCGATTTTTCAAAACTATTTTAAAAGTTCATAAAATACAAATTCACAAACGCAAAAAAAAACTACGAGATTTTGTATGAACCTTTTGGAAAACCGTAAATATATAAAATTGATACCTAAATTATAAATCAAAGTTGATTAGCTCACTTGCCCAGCTATGTTTTCATTTTTTATATATTAAAATTCAATTAAATGTAGATTTAAGCTCAAACCCGTCAACCGGCCGAGTCAACCCGGGTCACTCGGTTCTCCGGGTTCGACGGGTTTGGGCAGGTCAAAGGGGATGCGGGTTTCCTCGGTGAACCAGACCGGATCGGCTGTTAGTTCGCGGGTGGACCGGCCGGTCCGATCCGGTTTCAAAAGACTTCTTTGTATTAGAATGAACAAGTACCAAATTGATCTCAAAACTTTTGGAAGAAAAGGTGAATGTTGGATTGAAAAATCTCGAAGTGATAAAATATTTTAAAAGAATTAAATCGTTTTGAACTGAATGATTGGTCTATTATTTGAAAACGGTAAAAGATAACTTCGTATACCAAAAATCTTGAAAGAAATATATACATTAATATAATATGGAGTATAAAAATATTACGGAGTAATCTTTTTAGATTTCTTCACTAAATAATAAATATATTTTTAATATGCATTTTAAGCTTCATTGTGTATAAATTATATTTTAATTTGAGTTATAATTTTTTGGTAGATGAATATAAAAATATTAGCAAATATTTAAAAAATTATTTTGTTATCATTTGTTCTCAGTTTGTGAAATATAAACTAAGTTTAATAATAACATTTTTGCATTTAATTATTCATTTTTAATGTTTTTAATATTTCTTTATTTAAATGTATTATTTATAATTTTTCAAAAACAAAAGGTTTTTTACATTTTAAAGTTCAACTAGATATGTATATATTCATCTCGATTTCTATCAAGACTAATAGCGAATCATCTTGAATCATAGCGAATCGAAACTTTGGAATCGAGATCGCTATGACGTTAAATCTCATACTGAACTGAAATATTTGATATCAATACGAGCTAAATATCATAACGTACCACACTCCCTCCTATTTTGTATGGCACGTGACCTATGAAATAACGTGTGCCATTGTTTTAAATATTCCCTCCGTGCAGTTATGGTTTGTATGGCACGTGACCTATGATCTAACGCGTGCCATTATTACATATTCACACATACTCCGTATAATAATGAGGCCGGTTTGACTAGGGGTGCTCCGGTGCCCCATTTATAGAATTGACGGTTCCTACCCTCCCTAATCCCCCGGTAAATCCCCTCACCCCGCCCCGACCCAAACACGCTCCCCACCCCGTCATTTCCTGATGTAGGACTTAAACTTTTTTATTCCGTAAATAGTACTTAATAATGTCTAGTATGAGGAATAATATCTAGTGATGGTGGACATTTACACTAATGAAAAAATAACCAATGATCTTACACAGGGAAATAAAAATATATGGTCCTATAATAAGAAAGTCGAAAAAACTCCCTTTATCCTCCGTCTGTTAGAGATCTTGCCGTTCTGGCCTTCGTCTCCTTCGAACTAATCATAATTTGCATCCTTCCCTTCAAACCTAATCGCAATCCACAACACCGCCCAGATCACTGCGGCACATCCCTCGCCGGATTTTCAGTGTTCCCTTTCCCGGACGATTCAGTGGCACACCTAATGCGTGTGTAGACTTCAGATTGAGTGGATGGAATCCAAGATGCATGTGCTCTCCCAAGCTCCAAGAATGTAGAAGAGATTACTTGAGTTCAAGCTTAGTGTAATTGTAAATAAGTCCAACTTTGACTAATTTTATCACATTGCATATTGTGTAACAATATATATTATCACATTGCAAACTCTTACTTTGAAAATAAAAATATGAAATTTTATTTTGATACTCAATCTATATTTTACTCTAACCATTTTTTATTAAGAAAATAATTTTTTTAAACTTTAAGCATGGAATAATGATCGTTAGTTTTAATTTAAACTAGGAAAATTTACCTAAATGAGACTAACACATAATGAGTTTTTCAAATCATATATTTTTATATTCCAATGTAGGACATTCGATCATTATCCATTAGTCATTATTCAAGTAAATTTCCACCATCACTGGACATTATTCTTTTTATTAGACATTATTAAGTCTTATTTAAAAAATAAAAAAGTTTAAGTCTTGGAAAATGACTCATATTTTACTATCGTCATACATCATGAATTTACTTAAATAGCACTAAAATATAATTACTTTCTCTAAATAATATCACATGTGTTTTTTCCCAATGTAGCACTTTTAGTCATTATCAATTAGTCATTATTCAAGTAAATGTTTACCATCACTGGACATTATAGACATTATTAAGTCTTATTTAGGAAATAAAACAATTTAAGTGCTATTTAAAGAAATGACTAATGTTATTAGTACAAATATTTCTTATATATAATCACTTCTCATCACCACTCCAACTGTCTTTCAACTTTGGGCCAGTTGGGCCTTCTTCTCCGTACACTTCCTCAGGAAGCAAATCCACCACATTCTCAAACTTGCCTTTCAAGCTCCCCCTCAACGCCCCCTTCACTGCCTCAGCCTCCCTCCCGGCCGAATACCTAATAACCGGCCCCCATTTCCCGGCGTAGTTCAGCCACGGCGGCTCAGCCACTCCCTCCGCCGCCACCACCGTGTACTTCCGCCCGCAGTCCAAAACCAACCCTCCCTTGGCGGTGTCATTCCTCAGCCCCACCTCGTCCCCCAGCCCCTGCAACACCCCGCCCGGCTTCGAGTAATTCGCGTGCCCGTTACGCGAAGCGTATGCCGCCGGCCTGTTCCCGCCGCCGTCGACGAACTCGAGCCGCCGGGCGTCCACCCACGCGCCTCCGCTGTGAGCGGAGAAGTACATCCTGTACAAGACCCCATCGAAGTTGCTGATCCTCAGAGTGAGATGTTCCCAGTCCCCCACGTGCTCGCCGGTCCGGCCGAGCGGCACGTCAACCGGACCGACCTTGGCGGTGGCCGGACCGTTGAAGGGGTAAAAGACCCATACGACGACGTCCGTGAACGTGCCGCCCAGCATGGGTTTCACGTGAAGGTAAACCTCGGAGCTCTCGAGGTCACCTTTCTTGACGGCGCTACGGGCGGGTTCGCCGGAGGGGAGGTCGAGCCAGTAGGTGCCGTCGTCTGAACCGCCGTGGGGGAGATTTGCCCCGTCGGGGAGGACGGGGACGGGGTTGGACTGGTCTCCGCGCTTGTGAAGGGCGGCGCCGTTTGCGAAGAACCAGTTGACGGAAGATGGAAGGTAAGTTTCCTTGGGGTGGAAGTAGAGCACGGGGGAGTATTGTTGGAAGAGGGCTTTGATTTGGACGAGGTTAGGCATGGATGAAAATGGCGTGGAATTGTTGTTTTTCAGACAAGATAGAGATGATAGTGTTGCAGTCTTGTTGTTGTTGTTGTTGTGAGCTGCTGCAAATGTGCCCACACTCACTCCAAGTCCTTTCGTACCTGCATGCATGTTTAACTATGTATTATTGCCTTTATCACACATTATTTCATATCCTCTACCATATATGTTCTCATTAATTAGTTATAAGTGTCACATAATGAGTGATCATGCAAATGATTCTAGTGATCATTGAGGTTCAATGAAAATTAATTGAACCTAGTTGTAAATATTTAGATTCTTAGAATAATTACATTGATAACTTCAATTTAAAAAGTATGCACTCATATTTAGTACTATTTCCAATGAGAAATTTACATAAATAATATTAAAACATAATGACTTTCCCTAAATAGCAGCACATGAGTTTTTTTCTCGATATAACACTTTTAGTCATTATCCATTAGTCATTATCCAATAGTCATTATTCAAGTAAATGTTCGCCATCACCGGATATTATTAAGTCTTATTTAGGGAATAAAACAGTTTAATTGCTATTTAGAAAATGACTTAAGTTTTAGTGTTATTTATTTCAAATATTTCATTTCCAAACACTCTATATGTCCTTTTTCATTTTTTTTACACACTTTTCTTTTTTGGATGTCTTATCATTTTATTCACAAATTTCAACAACGTAATTTTATATTACTCAGTTTTAATGTATTTGTACATTTTTATTTTTTCAAGTCAAATTAGATAAACGTTGACCTTTAACTATGCTCAATTTGCATTGTATATTAGTATAATAAATTAAAATTATGAAAGTTCTCAACAAGATAAATATAATGAAATTATTTTAATACAAAAATACATTATGATTTTTATTTAATTGAATCTCAAAGTGCATCTACTTTGATTCAAAAAAATCAAATTAGACAAATAAACTAAAATTAGAGGAAGGGAGTAATATCATCATGTACCTCTGTTATTGCGCGGTCTCAGAAGGTAGAGATTAAAACCATTGGGATCACTAGACGACTTCCCCGGCGACCAAACCCAAGTCTCAGTTTCACATTCCTCCGTGAAATCTGCCCGGACGCACATGACCCGGTCCGCCGGTGGCTTCTCCGGCGACGTCGTGACAACGTGCCCGACAGCCCTGTAACCCTCGGGCGGGACGGGCACCCAGACATATGCCGGTTTGGTTTGACTGATTTTCAAGGACTCGCTGGTCCAAACCAGCGCGTAATCGCTCGGCTGCCTGAGGACTACGCCGCCGGCGGGGGAGATGTCTCGGCCGGCGAGGACCCAACCGAACAATGGTTCGTTGTTTGGCTGCGCGTAGTAGCCCAGGATGGAATATCCGTCCGGTAATGGGGAAGGCTCGAAGATTGTTGCTCCTAGGTTGTCTGGGCCGCCGTCGTAGGTTGACCAGACCGGGTTGAATGTTGAAATTTGGCACACTTGGAGCCCCCCGAGATCAATATGTCCGCTCCCAAACCCACCGCCACCACCTGTACATTGGTACAAAGAGAAGTATATAAATGAAACTCCTCTACAGTTTGATTGAGTATTTGCCTAACCCCATCGGTTTTAGTTTTATGGAACAAAAAATAAAACTGAATCCCAATCTCTAATTAGTAATTACTGGTCTTGACAATAGATTTTTGGGAGAAACTGAATGTAACCTCAATATTCCATGATAAGTGTAAAAATCTCATGTAAGAGAGACTGTGTCACCATATAACAACTTTATGACATATATGTAGGAAATTAAATAGAAAGGGGGACGTAATAAAGAATTAGAAGAACAACTTGATACTTTATTCTAAAAATGCACAAATTTTGTATTTCAAAATTATACAATGAAGTCAAAGTCATCGATAGGCCAATATAGTAATTAGAATTTCTAAGAGGAAGGGAGTCTTTTTCCCAACTTTTCAAAAAGTCTTCAACTTTAAAGAGATGTGAATACAGTTCAATAGATGTGTAGAAACTTGGGAGACTTTTTTGCTACTAAGCCCACATACTTCGAGAATATGTTTGGCAATGCGATGCTTTTAAGAATTAGGTTTCTTTTTTTTAGTGTAAATGGTTTTACTTCGTTTGGCATGTCGGGTTTTACTTTTTCTGCACCATTATTTTGTACATAGAACACTGTTTCAGAGAAGCAGTTATGAGATACTTTTGCTTTCAGCTTTCGTGCAAATCACTTTATCTACAAGTTAATCACTCTCAAACACCCTCTTCTTTTAGGTAGATAAAGTGATTGTATTGTCTCCGAATTTAATTATTTACTTTTTTTAAAAAAAATTTACTAGCACAGTAGCACTATCCTAGAGTATTTGTTCATTTTTTCTTTTTTCTATCAAAATTGATATATTTTGACAACTAATTAATTAAATAAAATTTATATTAGAAATAATGATTTAATCAGATTTATATGGTAAAATATTTCCAAATTATTTTATCAAATTTTTATACCATGTATTTGGTAATTTAATAATAGCTCAAAGATCGATTTTAGCTGACTACAAAAAGTCAAAACTAACAAATATTCTAGGACAGGAGGAATACATGTTTGGAATTAGTTGTTCAATTCATTTGTTTGTTTAACAAACCAATTACCCCATCCGTCCTAGAATATATATCCAACTTTGGTTTTTACTCTCAAATAGTTTGGCATTTGACCTATAATTATATAAGACTTACATAGTATATTAATTTAATTGATAAAACAATATTTTCAAAATATTTTACCAAATAAATCTAATAAATTTGTTCTTATATCAATAGCTATTATCTAATTTAGATTGCATTTAACTAATCATCAAAGTTTTTCAGTTTGCCTATAAATAGTCAAAACAAGGAAAAAGTTTTGAACGGAGATATAACATTTCTTTTGTTACTAGGGTATATAAAAAAGTTTCACATTTTCTTTTATTATTTATTTCAAAAGAGATTGCACCTTCTTTCCAAAGAAACATAGTATATTATTCATACTACCTATTACGTCCTAGAAAAACTTTTTTGTTTTGGTTTTTTAATTAAACAATGACATTCTTTGACCATAAGTTGTAAGAAAAGTATATTTAATTTTAATGTAAATTCAAAATAATTAGTTTCATCTTAGAATATACGGAGTAGTTTTCATCTAACAAAATTTTTATGACGTTTTTTACTTAAATTATTTTTAATTATTAATCAAAGAATATCAAAATTTGACAAAAAATCAAAACAATTTTTTTGTGGGTTGGAGGATGTACACTTTAATTGATATCACCTTTACATTATTGAAAGTTCAGACACGTACACAACTTTACCCTTATTAATGTGTATTATTGAATGTTCAGACACGTACACAACTTTACCCTTATTAATGTGTACTATGAACAAATGTAGAACTTTATTTGGAGAGAAGAAGGGAGTTTGGTGCATTGATTATCCTATTGAATTTTTCTCTTAGAGTATCCCACACCAGAAATTAAGAGAAAGTAATCGATATATAAATTTTGAGTTAAACTAAGTACTTAATTTAATTTAATCTTTTAATGTGGTTCAACTCAAATGTGTCATGGTATCAGAGTCAGTTTTAGCCTACCTCATTTGTTAAGTTATTTGTCTAGAAATCCATTTTTAGCGGCCCGTTAGTTTTTAGCACAGTTGTCCGTTCGAAAAAACGGTATGTGGCTCATATAACTCGATTGTTCGCCTAAAAGTTCATACCCAGTAACCCAGCGATCTGTGGTCTGTTGCAAGTGATCAACCAACTCGATTCAAAATCGTCTCGTTACCCACTTGAGGGTAGTGTTAAAGTATCCATATAAAAAATGGGAGTTGATATCTACACTCCATAATTTACTAATGGCACTCCACATTTTATATTTTTTTAATAGATGGACAATAATAACCTTTTAACTAGAAGACCCCATTTTCATCCTACATTCCTACTAGACATGATTTACCCCATTACTTCTATCGTAATTTATTTGCAAAAAAAAAAAACTATAACAATGTCATTGATATTTATATAATCCATTTATATTTAACAAATTTTATAATTTTGAGGATTATAATTTTATTAATACTCCATACTTATTTATTAATTTGTTAATCTAAAAAAGATCTTTACATTTGAGTTTTTACTGTACGATACTTTTGCCACAAATAATTATGCTTGTACATAAATAAATATTTCAACTATAAAAATTTGATGTATATAATATATATTTTCAAATTAACCCAACTATAATAAATTTAAGTTATAACTGAATATATACATTTTTCTCAAAACGTGATCAAAACAATATAAAATTTTATTGAGAAAAATCAAATGTAAAATTGGATTGAGAAAAATCAAATGCAAAATTCTTTTTTAGACAGATGAAGCAAAATGAAGAGTGCTTATTTGTTGAACCTAAGTTCCAAAAATAAATCCCGTGGACTTTCTCACATAAAAGTAGTTCTGTGTCTTTTTTTTTAAATTTATAATAAGCATGTTCATCTCAACATTAAGCAAATGTAGCATAATTTGCCTAAAATAAATTTGTCAAAGTATATACTTTCATGATTTTTTGATATAATAAAATCGTCAATCATGTTTTAATTTGCTAAAAAACTTTGTTAATATTTCTAAATATATAAAATTTTTTAGTTTTGGATGACCACTTTGAGTAAGATAACATGATACTCCATCCCTTCAAATCTTAATTACTCTTTTCTGGTTCTCGTTACTTATTTGATAAAATAATATAGAACTCCGTAATATCACCTCTGGTTCCGTAGAACATTTGATACATTTTTAAAAATGTAAATTTTTTTATTCCATGCCAATTTTCAAAAGTGTGGGAGAAAAATATGATAATAATTCTTTGATAGAATTGCGTTTTTTTTTGAAATTTTTCAATTAATTGTAGTATATTTAATTTTATTTTAAGACTTTATGATACGGTGCACTAATTAAAATAACTATTTGGTGTGTTTCTAAATACATAAAAAAATTACAACAATATTATAAAATTTGTTAAATAAGTATTTCCCTAAAAAATAAGTATAAATTAGTATAATTTAATCCTCAAAATTGTAAATCTTGTTAAATAGTTAATATAAATATTAATGATGTAAAGGGATGATGAAAACGAGGTATTTGTAATTGAAAGGGCAAAATTGTCAATCTTTTAAAAAATAAAAAAAGTGGAGTGCAGCTAGTAAATTATGGAGTGTAGATATCAATTGCCATAAAAAATTGAAGAGAAAAGTAATCGATATATAAATTACCCCTTGAGTTTTAATAATTGGAGTAGGACATTTTCTCCATGTTTAATTTTTCATCAGCACCATAAAATGTGTCTATCCAAAATATTCTCTTGACATAACATAGTAGTTGTTGGAATAATAGATTAAGACTGACCAAAAATACAAGAGAGTATTTATAAGAAACATTTTTAACACAAGTTGGAATTGAATCGACTTAATAATACAAGTTGATTAGGGGGTAATAAACAAACAATACTATAATTAATACTACTATTACTGTCTAAAACCAATGTATACATATCATTTTTTGGGTGAAATGCAATTATATATCGAGTAGTATTTTCTGAATGTGGAAGTAAGCAATATCGCATAAGTTTAGAAGTAAGGGCATGAATTTTTCTAGAACAAGAAATCTTTTTTTTTAATATAAAAAATAATGGTATATATATATTTTCACTATTGGTATATATACTGGCCGGATGGGTACTCATAAGAAATGAAATAATATATATAATGTGTAAGAAGTTATTAATTAAGAAGGAGCTAATATAACCTGATGATGAGGAGGAGGAAGATGAAGGCCATGGGGGCAAGGAAGAAGGAAGCTTGAAAACTTTATGAATTGGGAGTGATGATCTTTCTTGGGCTTCTTTCTTTGATGAAGAAGCTGCTGCAGAGAACCGATTTCCCATTATATTGTGATATTCATATATTTGATAACTTCACAATATATATATATATATATATATATATATATATATATATATATATATATATATATATATATATATTATCGATGTAAAGCTATATATTTGAAAAAGAAAAAGAAGAAAAAGTGTTTAATTATAAGTATATATTTGTTCCAATTTTGCAGGAGTATGTAGCTAATAATCATAATAATAATAAGGGCGGGTGGGTGTCGGCAGATTTAAGCAATGCAATGCCACAGGTTGAAAATATTGCCAGCTACGTACTGCTCCCTCCACACGATCTTTTCCGGCCATTTCGATCTGTTTCTCTCAGAGAAAATAGATATTGTAATAATAAATTTTGGATAATTGGTTCCCACCATAATTAATATGTTACGTCATATTCATCAACCAAACTATAATGCAATTTTGTTTGTTTTCTTCTTCTTCTTCTAATCCAGTTCATTGCTTTGGTCTTTTTTTAGATAGTTCTGGTCCCATCTCTCTAAAAGATTGCAACACTATGAATTTTTTGGTCAAACTGTGACACTCATTGACTACGAATTAAATATAGTTAAAAATCATTAAGTATTATAAAATTTTAATATTTCAAGATTATATTTTAAAATAAATCCAATATTACTAAATTTACATTATAGCTAAATATACATTTTCTATAAACTTCAAGTTTCAACCATACCGAAACCATGAATAAAGACCTAAACCTTATTGTATATTGCCTCTTGGACACTTGGAGTCGACCGCTACTTCAAAGTTTTCATGAAAAATAGGGGAGGATTGTTGGTGATTTTAGTTTCATCAGCTATTTTGTGTGATTGAGTTTACTTAAATCAGATAAGAATTTGAATAGAAATTTTTTTATGTTGTCTATATACTAAGGGGCTGTTTGGCAACTTCTGAATGGGTAAGTGCTGAACCAGTAAGAGGCCTGAACCATTAAGTGTTGAACCAGTAAGAGGTCTGAACCATTAAGAGCTAGTATATTGCTTAACTATTTAGAGGCAAATGTCTGATCAATTCAGATAAGAGGTCTTAACCATTCAGACTCTGTATAATACTTAATCATTCAGAGGCAAATCTCTTAACCATTCAGACATCTGAACCATTAAAAGGCTGAAACAAACCGTCTGAACCATTAAGTGTTGAACCATTCAGACATCTGAACCATTAAGAGGCTGAAACAAACAGCCCCTAAGTTTCTTAAAATGAGTATGTACCTTCGGACAATGTAAGAATTTATCATTATTTCAATATTCCAATATGATATACTAGGCGACCTAAAAAAAATTTACCTTCGCACGTGGCGGGCGCCACCACCATTAGATAAATTTATCAATTTTTTTCTTTATCGTTAAAAAAAAGCAATCTCTAAGAGGGGGTGAATATTGGTCCCTTCAGGGTTTGATCAGTACAAGGTCTAAGGGGTTATATAGACTTAGCAGAATGCATGAGGAGATGAAGTATAAGAAATTGATGCATCAAACAAAGATACTACAGCTTTAGTTTATTTAAGTTATATTAAACTCAGAGGATAAGTTATGTTATGATATGGTCAGAAAACAGTACTTGATATTGGTAATAGTAAAGTTTTGAAACATCTACTTTCCTCATGGCCTCGTACCTGAGAATTCTAGCTAGCTAGGTGCTGATGATACCTTGAGTGAGCTCTATCCCGCATTGCCTTGAGCCTGAGTGCCTCATCTAGTTCCTCTCCAACCAACAATGGCGGGCACTTGTAAGTCCGCTTAGTAACAGCATCCCAATCCACAAATTCAGCTAACTCGCAATCTTGTTCAAGGTGGTCTCCCCATTCGCCGCAAATATAACACTGGTTTTCAACAGCCATCTTAGTTGTACCGCCACAACACACACAAGTCTGCTCTGCATCAGGCCAGAATTCCTTCCCGCAACAGTCCTTGCAGTAGAGGCTAAAGCCATGGCCAACTTTTGCACCCTCAGGGACAATATTTCCATACGGGCACAGATAAAAGTGGTGCATCCCTTTTAAACAACACCGACATAGAGAGGGTTCGTCCACTCTTAGCCCAGGGGGCAATCTATTATCCAAATCTACACAAGAATGAGAAACACACACACACACAATCAGTCAAAACATAACCAATCTATAGGATACTAAGATGATGCAGTATGTCATATATGATTACATTACAAGTTCAAAGTAGAGCTTTAACTTAGATTTCCCCAGGTAAGACTGTATCTTGATCGTTAGGGTTGTGGGCATGCGGTAATGAGTGTTGATGTAGCATGCCCTGGTAAACTTTTCCCAAAATTTATTGACGTCGGTACTGTAACTAATGTCGGTGGAAGTCTAGTGTGCAGGCTCTTGTTGATAGATTTTTCCATTAATCATAATCCATATCAGGTATTTATACGCAGAGATTAAGACATCTCAATGATTGTTACCATTATCATACTCATACAATCATTATTTGTTAGTCATTATTCAACTTAATATCCAGCATCACTTGGACATTATTCTTCTCACTAGTCATTATTAAATCCTATTTAAGAAATAAAAAAGTTTAAGTTCTACATTAGAAAATAACTTATGTTTTAGTCTTATTCAGTGCAAATTTCACTTATATATATAGACTTAGCAGAATCCATGAGGAGATGAAATATATAAAATTGGTGCATCAAACAAAGATACTACAACTTTAGATTATTTAAGTTATATTAAACTCAGAGGATAAGTTATGTTATGATATGGTCAGAAAACAGAACTTGATAATAGTAAAGTTTTGAAACATCGAGGGATTACACACATTCGGTGCCCACTTATTTCAACAAGATACGATAATGATATGATGGACTCCCTCCCCTGTTTTAGAATCATCTCCTTTCCTCATGGCCTCGTACCTGAGAATTCCAGCTAGCTAGCTAGCTAGCTAGGTGCTGATGATGCCTTGAGTGAGCTCTATCCCGCATTGCCTTGAGTGAGCTCTATCCCGCATTGCCTTGAGCCTGAGTGCCTCATCTAGTTCATCTCCAACCAAGAATGGCGGGTACTTGTAAGTCCGCTTATTAATAGCATCCCAATCCACAAATTCAGCTAACTCGCAATCTTGTTCAAGGTGGTCACCCCATTCGCCGCAAATATAACACTCGTTTTCAACAGCCATCTTAGTTGTACCGCCACAACACACACAAGTCTGCTCTGCATCAGGCCAGAATTCCTTCCCGCAACAGTCCTTGCAGTAGAGGCTAAAGCCATGGCCAACTTTTGCACCCTCAGGGACAATATTTCCATACGGGCATAGATAAAAGTGGTGCATCCCTTTTAAACAACACCGACATAGAGAGGGTTCGTCCACTCTTAGCCCAGGGGGCAATCTATTATCCAAATCTACACAAGAATGAGAAACACACACACACACACACACAATCTGTCAAAACATAACCAATCTATAGGATACTAAGATGATGCAGTATCTCATATATGATTACATTACAAGTTCAAAGTAGAGCTTTAACTTAGATTTCCCCAGGTAAGACTGTATCTTGATCGTTAGGGTTGTGGGCATGCGGTAGAGAGTGTTGATGTAGCATGCCCTGGTAAACTTTTCCCAAAATTTATTGACGTCGGTACTGTAACTAATGTCAGTGGAAGTCTAGTGTGCAGGCTCTTGTTGATAGATTTTTCCATTATTCATAATCCGTATCAGGTATTTATATGCAGAGATTAAGGCATCTCAATGATTGTTACCGTTATCATACTCATACAATCAATCCCGAGAGGGGGGTTGTGCTGCTGGCAACGAAATCTTTCTTTTCATACCCAGCAGGAGATGGGATGAATACAGCTAGTGATGAATCTGGGCAGGGAATTACATCTCAGATATCACTATTTCCATTAGGTGCTCCTTTCTACTTTCCTTTGTTTTAACTTCACAACTACACTAATACTTTTGGGGTCCAGTTTAAATATATGCATTTGTGGTAGGCAGAAATACTTCAACAAGGTCAATACATTACTTGCTCATCAAAGAGAGCTGTTCTATTATGGACAATAACCTTTACTTTATCTCTCATTAGAGCAATCTGCAGCAGTTGAAGGCATAAAAGCTTGGATTTGGAGCAAAACAAATCATCTTAATGGAATACTAATCAATGGTAAACATGAGAAGGATTGACGCAACAGAACTGACAAACTCTTGCAACCACTGTTTGACATGGTGTATTGCATAAAACTAAAGGTGTTGTGAGGTGCAGGCCACATTTTTCAAGGAACAAAATCCGATTTTGGTTCATCTGGGCAAGGTAAATTTTGGTTCAAGACTTCAGGTACATCCGATTTTTTATCCAACAAAGAAAAAAACTATATATTTACATGTACATTCCAAACATTATCCTTTTAAATGCCTCCCGTCACAAGCTGATGCATATAAAGAATGAAGTAATGAACAAGCCTCAACCAATTTCACTGTTAGTGATTTGGTTTCCTTTGAGGCTTTGCCGCATTTTATTTGGGTGGTGTGAGGGTGGGGGTAGTATTAACCTTTCCATATCGACAAAGAATAGCATCTTACGTAGAGAGCAGGAAGAATGAGCTAATTGTGACAATGACTCCAAATGGTTTCATTTTTAGGATTTCATGCCTTTTGAATCTTATGATGTTTCAAAAACATAACTAATTTGAGTGTTTTTATCTTTGAAAATAAAAGGGAATACTCCCTCCATCCCAAAAATATTGCCTCAGTTGCAAAATCATGAACGGAGTTCAGATCCAGAAAAACACGAACCTTCAACATTTAGTAACGATCAGAAGACCAAGAACATCCAGACAGAATTGATTTGAGGTGCGCTCAAGAAAATTATTGGTAAAACAGATCACAAAAACAACAATGGATTGAATACCCTTACTCAAGCATGCGTACCAAAGAAAAACCTCGATGTAATTGGATACCCATATGTATGACGAACCATGAGAGAGAAATGAAGAGCATACATACTTGCGAGTTTTTGACAGATCTGCTTTTCCTCCTCAGTGCTCAGCACCGGCCCAGAGATCGACATGATTCTCACAGTGCGGAATGATGGAGATTGGATGGGGATTAGGGTTTGCCTTGTCTTTTACAATAGTTTCGATTGAGATGGTGGAGGAATATTGTGAATATGGGTATGGGCGGGTGGGCGGTCGGTCACAAATCACAATCAGTTTTAAATAATTAATTTATAAAATGTGATACTCCCTTCGTTTTTAAAAATTCTTCCTCTTTCTTTTTTTTACTTTCAATAAAACACTTTCACTTTCTATTAAAAAAATCACTTTTGTCCTTACTTTTTCATGCCCTACCTATCACATCATACTTTTTCTCTAATACTCAACCCATCACATCATACTTTTAAATATCACATCAAGGGCAAAATTGGAAGTCAATTACAATTTAACACTTCCTTATTTTTACACAAAGTCAAAATATGAACACTTTTATAGAACGCAGGGAGTATAAGATTATTTTATTTGATTAAGACATCATTATTTATTTAAGTCTAGTTTTTCCTCTAAGTAAAATTAGTAAAAAGTACTATTTCATTTGTCTTCTTACTTTTTAACATATATAGATTAATGACATACAATTGAAAAAAAATATATGTAAATTTATTTTCATTCAAACATAATATGTTTTGATTAGCCAAATATCTTTAGAATGTGGTAAGAATTACTGGATTGGGTCATAAGACACTTAGGTCGAACCACATTATGAGATTAAATCCAATTTAATTCAACTCAAGAACTTATATATCGATTATTTTACTCTTGAACTTCCGATGTGAGATGCACTGTAACACTCCCTTTCAAGTGGACAACCGGATCATTTTGAATCTAACCGGTTGACCACTTGCAAATGAACTCACATTCCCTTGATTTTTTTTAGCGCCAACACTTAAAGGACCACGAGCCCCTAGGTATGGAACTTGAATTTGTAATTATTGTGGTTACGTTGCACCTCAATTTATTTAGACGGTTTTTATTATAAAAAATATAAATGTAATTAAACTTTGTATATTACTCCGTATAAGATTTTATTTTAAATATCAGACATGTCACATAATGTGATCAAGTCTATGTTTTTTCTTTCATGATTGACATTTTATTTGCATTGTAACTTTTATTTTGTGAATACAAATATAGAACTCATATTTGGCACACTTTTATGTTTTTTTACTCATAATTTAGTATTTTTCTCTAAAATATTTTGACTTTCGAAATTGTTTGTAAAAAATTTTAAAAAATGTTTTTCTCATATCAATTTAGAAGAGTGTGAACTAACTAAAAATAAAATAGTTTATAAACTATAGTTATGAACATAATAGTTGTAATAATAATGATGAAGATAATACTAATAATAATTATTATTTTTATTATTATAATGGTAATAAAAATAATAATAATAATCACATTAAAAATACATCATTTTTAAAATAATTGATTTTGGAGTAGAAAGAATTTAAAGACAATGAGAATAGTTGGAAAAATCTAGAAGGAACGAGAAAGTTAAAAGTTTAAACTCTAAAGAACATTCTCTTAGGTAGCATAATAAGCAGCATAATAAATTAAGGAGAAATAAAGAATTCATTATTCTGGTAAGGACCAACATGACAGGGTGTTAATATTAATATGCATAAAAGAAAGACCACTGACAAAATATTTGATAATGGAAGAGGTGTGCAAGTATGCTCTTCCATCTTTATTTTTAGAAGATTTTTGGAAGAAATGTATAGGAAGTGATATAAAACATATGTAGTCATTATTATTATTACTCCCTCCGTTCGGAAATAATCTTCCCGTTTTTCCTTTTTGTCCGTCTGGAAATAATCTTCCCATTTCAATTTTTAACCCCAATCCTTACAAAAATACCCTTATCATTAAATTCTCATTTACTCCATCAAACCATCCCACTTCCCCACCCACCTGCACGCATTACTCTCTCTCTAACCCCCCACCTCCCTACCCCCTTACACTCATTCGCTCATTTCTAAATCTTATCTTCTTCCTCTCTTTGAAAATCATTCCTCTCTCCCTAGATCTACATCTCTTTCATGTGCATGAACTCTTCATCTACTCTTTCAAAGGAATCGCATGAGTTATTTTACGAATTCTATATTTCCGAAACGGAATTTGAAGATGGGGGAGGTGAAGATTTTGAGGTGATTGCCGACGATATTATCTCTGACGACAAGGAGGAGAACATTGTCATCGTTATCGACAGAGACGACGATGGTGCCGATGTTGCCCCGGTCAGAGAGAAGGAGGTAATCGACCTTACCTTAGATAAGGATGATGTTATTTATCTTGGTAGCGATGAGGTTGCGTTCCTGGGAGACAGTGATACTAATGATTCCTTTGGGTCTGAAATCATTGAGATTGAGACTTCTCCGGTGATCTGCTCACACATGCACCTCCACATAGATATGCTTAACATCTTACTACCTACTCTAGATCCAAACTTTTCGGCTTCAACGTACAAGTAGGGGAGTGACTTTCACCTACTTTCACTTTATAATTTTCTTGCATGGAGTATCAATTTAATTCCTGCCACTATGAACATTGTTGATACATTGCTGTTATAATTGAAATTTCTTATGTGGAGTGTATGTTACTGTTATGTAAATGCTACCTATATGAATTTTGTTGGATCAGATGTCTAAGATGACTGCAATTTATTTTGCATAGTCTGAGAATAATGAAGCTACTGTGATGAATATTTTACCTTAATGGGATGTTTCTGAGTGCTCAAGCTGTTACACATCTATGTTTTTAGTTAAGATGTCATTATGTTATGTGAAGGTGGCCAACTTCTGTGATGACTGCAATGTCTTTTGCACTGTCTCAGAAAAATAACCTACTATGATTAGCATTATACCATTAAGGGATGTTTCTGAGTGGTTAATGTGTTGCACATATTGTGGTTATGTTATGTGTATGTGTATGTGCATGTATTAACATCAGCAATGATGAAGTGGGCTTAGTTATGATAAATATATGTTGGCTGTTGTATTTCATTCAACATAGAGCAGTTAGTGTGTAGTTGCCTTAATGTGAGTACATACATATCCCATATGGTAGGACATTAAATGGTGCAAAACCCAAAATTCAAAAATCAAAAGCCAAAAAACTACCACTACCAACAATCTAAAGCCAAAAAGTGAATGTGGTAACCACTTTAAAAAACTCACTTTCACTGCCACTGCACTTAAACAAAACAAAACCCAAATAATGCTAAAATATAAACATGGATTCAGTTCAGCTCTAAAAATAGGCACTCCTGTCCCTCTTCAATATTGAACTGCACCATGCCTTCATGTGTACTCTCATTGTGTTGATCAAGCAGTCTACATATCTTCTCTAAATCTGGATCAATGTTCAAGCAATTAGGTAGTGTCCCTTCCCTGGCCATTCTGTCTTTCCCCACATGTGGCAATCTATAGTTGTTGCCTCCTTCATTCTCCATTACTTTAGCCAAGACTTGTTGGTAAGTCAACCATACCTTATTTAGAGTTTCTGAAGTTAGAGCATTGTAGGCTCCCTCCACAGCCTCTAACAACTGTCCCACACTGGTTGGAGCACACTTCTCTTTTAAAGACTGGATGGCTCTTAAAAAACCAAGGTTCAGTACATTTAAGTCTGGGGAGTTGGGGGTTGGTTACCTAGACTGATGTGAAAACCATTGCTGTTACCTGCAGGAGTCTAGTACCTAAATGGGTGGCCTTACATTATCTTGTTGAATGTGTATGTCTTTAGATAATTGTGCAGGCCACTTTTCTTGGATAGCTTGAATCACTTTGTTGATTAGCATGTCTTTTGTCACTTGTTTGGTAACACTGGTGATTGGTTATACCTCCACAACTCCTTTATCCCTGTTTTTACTCTTTTTTTGGCTTTCACTATTTCATTGAAATGGAATATGCCAACTTTGCCATCCCATAACACTTTTCCATCATCAGTAATTAGTGGGCATTTTAGCCATTCCACCTAATAAATAAGGGCATTTTAGCCATTTTACCTCATAAGTCAACCATTCAAAAAATGAAAAAAAGTCCAAATGGGAAGACTTTTCCCAGACGGAGGGAGTATTATTTTTGGTCATGGCTCCAAGATGAGAGATACAGTTTAAATCCCTTTGAACCGACAAGTGAGGAGCACATTTCATTACAACAAGTTAGTATATAGCACTAGCTACTAGGGGCACAAGTAATTTTTTGTGGGGCTGAAAATAGTTTATGAGAGAGGGACCAACTCTTCACGCATCAATATAAGATTAATTTGCAGAACCAATAGAACGAAAAATCAAATTATGAAATATGAAGGTAATTTACCTAAATAAGACTAAAACATAATAATTTTCTCAATATAGGACCATATGTTTTTATTTCCAATGTAGGACCATTGGTCATTATCTGTTAGTCATTATTCAACTTAATATCCAACATCACTTGGACATTATTCTTCTCACTAGTCATTATTAAATCCTATTTAAGAAATAAAAAAGTTTAAGTTCTACATTAAAAAATAACTTATGTTTTAGTCTTATTCAATGCAAATTTCACTTATATATATAGACTTAGCAGAATCCATGAGGAGATGAAATATATAAAACTGAAGCATCAAACAAAGATACTACAGCTTTAGTTTATATAAGTTATATTAAACTCAGAGGATAAGTTATGTTATGATATGGTCAGAAAACAGTACTTGATAATAGTAAAGTTTTGAAACATCGAGGGATTACACACATTCCGTGCCCACTTATTTCAACAAGATACGATAATGATATGATGGAACCCCTCCCCTGTTTTAGGATCATCTCCTTTCCTCATGGCCTCGTACCTGAGAATTCCAGCTAGCTAGCTAGCTAGCTAGGTGCTGATGATGCCTTGAGTGAGCTCTATCCCGCATTGCCTTGAGTGAGCTCTATCCCGCATTGCCTTGAGCCTGAGTGCCTCATCTAGTTCATCTCCAACCAACAATGGCGGGCACTTGTAAGTCCGCTTATTAACAGCATCCCAATCCACAAATTCAGCTAACTCGCAATCTTGTTCAAGGTGGTCTCCCCATTCGCCGCAAATATAACACTGGTTTTCAACAGCCATCTTAGTTGTACCGCCACAACACACACAAGTCTGCTCTGCATCAGGCCAAAATTCCTTCCCGCAACAGTCCTTGCAGTAGAGGCTAAAGCCATGGCCAACTTTTGCACCCTCAGGGACAATATTTCCATACGGGCACAGATAAAAGTGGTGCATCCCTTTTAAACAACACCGACATAGAGAGGGTTCGTCCACTCTTAGCCCAGGGGGCAATCTATTATCCAAATCTACACAAGAATGAGAAACACACACACACACACA